TGCTGTATTTACTCCAATATTCTCTTTTTTTGTTCCTAAACTTTCATTTTCAAAAAAAAAAAGTATTTCTTTTCTAATTCATAAATATAATTGATTTCATTACTCAACATTTTAACCTCGTCATTAAAATCAAATGGAGCGGATATAAATTTTTATGTAAAGAAAAATACAAGAATTATTTTGTCATTTTTAAAATTTGCAAAAAACCAGATTTGAATAAAGAAAATATTCTTTTTAAAGTTTTTCAAATCCTTCTCTCTCTTTTTTCTAAAACAGATGTTATGCAAGATTTAAGAACAGGCTTTTCCGTGTACGCAAATGTAAGAAATGATATATTCTATTCCATTCTCTCGATAACAATGAGCAAGCAGTATATAAGTATATTATCGGGACTACTGAATACTTTCAGGACCGAGGTATAATTTTTTTTTTTTTTTTTTTGTGTGCGTTGTGAATTGTTGTTTAAACTCGCAGAAAACGTTTACGAGGGCAAGGCAAGCAAGGTGACCACCTTGGTCTCAAATAAGTCTAATATACGCAAGAACCATAAATATTGTCATTTTCCCAAACTAATATCATAAAAAAAATGTTGAGAATCAATTTTACTTTCTATACATATTACATTGCAGGAGAATTAACTTCTTTTGAAATAAATGCAAAAAATTACTCAAAACACAGTATACATATTGCAGCAAACAAATTTCAAATATAATAATAGTAATTATATATAGTTTGTTTCATTTGGAAAATAGAAAAAGAAATATTTTTTAAATCTATATATATATCCAATTAAAGATAACTTTGTGCAACTGATTTAATTTAGAAAATGGCACAAGAAGAAAATGCAGAAGATGGTGAAAGGACATTTTTCCTAAATTGAAATCAACGTCAAGTTGCAAACCTTCTCGGGAAATTCTTTAGGACAAACTTAAATTTCTCTCCAAACGTGTGTGATGAAGTGAATGGAGTTGAATTTCACTATAAAAATACACACAAGTATCGCTTCATTATTTTAACACGTTTTTCCCTTGGTCAGGGTTAGAAAATTTTCTTCGCACAGCACTGAGATCTCAGCTGCACGCGCCTCTATCTACTATGAAGAAAAAAGTGCACACGCAGATGATGAAAATAGATGTACGCTAGACATTCACTCAAACCACCTGTATTTATTTTTTTTTTTGCTCTTTCCCTTTTTTTTATAATCCAAGACAATAATCTAGATTCTAAAATTAAAAAGAAAGTGTGATATATATTTAAACAAGTGAAATGTGTTCTTTTTTATTTTATTACTTCCAAAAATAGAATTGAAGCCAGACGATAAAAATCGATTTCAAAATAGCCTAAATTGTTGTCAAGAAAAAAAAAAAAGAAGGGGAATTTGAAAAAGAAAGCTACTGAATGAAAAAAAGAAGTGAATGTTTGAAGACAAAGTTAGTCCTAGAGAACACCGCTTTCTGTTAAAAGTCACAAGGCATTCTTTTCTGGACCTTGACCAAACGAATTACGAGAAAAGAATCTATCTCTCTTTTCTTTTCCTTTCTGCATTGTTACTAACCACCGTAATCGAAAACGTTTTCTACGCCTCTGACGAGACGACTAGCAATATCCCAGGCACACATGTGCAACGCGATATATATATATATAGATATATACCAGAGAGCGTACCTGTATATATGCCTGAAACTGGCCCGACAGGCACAAAAGGCAACAGCAGCAACCAAGCCAAGCCTGGGGGCCAGAGACCTCAATCGCACTATCGAGAGAGAGAGAGAGAAAACTCCGAACACACCACACACGAAAAGCAAAAAAGAAACCCTGGGAACGCACAAGAGTAGGGATTCAAATTTCATTTTTAATTTTTATTAAACCTCAATCTAAAAAACAAAAAATAAATATTCAAACCGACATATATCAATCTCAAACTCGAAAATTATTGTAAAAAGGGATTTCCTTTCCAGGTGGATTGATCGAAGAAAGAGACCCTTGGTTCCTTTTTTTAAAGATCGAAAAAAAGGGAGAGAAGAAGAATCCCAGGAGTGTACGGGAATAGCCCATAGCCTCCACCCATATAATATATATATATACAATTGCAGAAGAGCCGATTGTCGTTGTTCCACTTTGCTTAACGTGTGTGATTCTACAATTCTACCTACTTTATTTTTTTCCTCCTTCATTCTCTTCCACCTACTCCAATTGGTATGTTTGTTCATCGCATTTTCTCGCTAAAAAATAATGGAAGATTCATTTAAGACTGGTCCTCTCGTGACGCCTACAAAATTTAACCATCCCACACACACACACACAAATTCAAAGAGAGTCGAAAATGCACCGCCGCCGATTCCCTACCCACGTCGAGTGTTTTTCGAACGAAGGACAAAGCCTCGTGTATTTTGTGCGCTGCTGCTGATAAAAGTTCACGTCCGAGAGGAAGTTACGCACGTGCATGTGAAACGCAAGCAGAAACGAATTGTGGGAGCGCCTTCAGGGCCGAACACATTTTTTTCAATATATATATAAAAAAAAAGAACTCTTTTTTTTTGCAGAATTTTATATATATACCATCTGCTTTCATTTCATCGAAATTATTTTTTCCTCCATAATCAAAAATTTAATTTAATTTTCCCAAGATCAAAAAATAAAAATAGAAAGAGAGATACTCAAGGATGAAGTAAACTTTTTCACTTATGAATAAATGTTTCTCAAGCAATTAAAGCGAGCACAATCAGAGTCGACGGGAGACATCAACTTTTACGTAACCTGCATTTTTCTCCTTCTGCAACAAGCGCGATAACACTATATTCGTATATATATATATATAAGAGAAGCGAGAGTGCTTAGCCTAACTTGAAAGTGAAGTGTCTCATCCCAAAAACGAAACCCGCTTTCCATTTGTCTCTCACGATTCTTACTAAACTTTCAATTGTCTTTTAATTTCACCTTTCAAAGAAATTACATTTTTTTTCTGTTTGCTTAATATTGCATTTTTTCACTAAAATCATAATCGACAATGTTAATATTAATAATAATTATTAATCCGCAAAGTCAATTGTTGATTAAATTATAGAATTAAAATAATAAACACTATCTTCACCGCCCCCTCTTTATCTCTTACTCAATTCAACGAGAAATTTAAAGAGCAGAGTAATTTTAATTGCCATTTAAATGAAAAATAGTGGAAAATAATTTACAAATTTTTTTCTCTTATCCAAAATCAACTATCAAAGGAAAAAAAATTAATCGAACAAAAAAAAAAGTAAATTACATAATTTATTTTTGCCTTTGATTTTATATCATTATTTAATATCCAATTAACATATATATATATATATAATTCTTTAGAAATTTGAATGAATATTTGGGTCATATAATGAATAATAATAATCGAATACAAAAAAAAGAGTGTCTAAACCAAAAAAATATTTCTATAAAAACAAAAATTTTCTTAACAAATGAAAAAGTCGATTTTGAAGATATAGAAGACAAAGAAGATACGGATTCGCGTTGCCACATATATGTCGACGAACCAGGAATAATTCTGTCGTGCTGTTACACGAGTATGGTATCGATATCACAGGTAGTTCATGCCCCCTCCCCCCACCCCTCTCACCCTATACATACAGTGGCGTAAGCAGTGGCTAACGGGCCTTTTACACATATAGCGTTTATACGAATTTATTCTAATAAAAATAATACAAAAAATTCTTCATAAAACTATATATAATTTACTCCAAAAATGAATTTAAAAAAATTTGTTACAAAAAAAAAATAAAAATTCATTTAAAAATATATTAAAAATCAATTCAAATGAAATTAAAAATAACTTACAAGTGAAATTAAAAGTAAATTGAAAAAGTTTGAATGAAAGTAAATAAAACATTATGGAAATGAATAGAAAAAAAAAAGTTCGAAGTAAAAAAAAACTTGAATAAAAAAAAAATAATCAAATCTATAGAACAAAAATACTTTATTTAAAGGCATGTGAAATCATGACGTCATCCCGTTCATGTATAATTACAAACCATTCAATTTTTTCTACTGTAAGCTAAAATTTTAAAAAGTCGAATATTTCTCTAAAAGTTGTTTTTTTAAATTAAAAAAAGCGATACGTAAATTTTATTTCTAAATAATATTTAATTGTTAAAAAAAAGTCTGAATATATAAATATCTAGACTTCTCATAATATTCTCTTATCTCTTTAAAACTTCCATAAAATGTCTTTCTAATCACGCAATTAATGTCTTTATAACAACGTACATAGTAACAAAAGTTTCGACAAAAAAAAAAAAGCAATTTAAAAATAAAACGAGTGAGAATTTTTAATGAACAGACAAATGCGTCACATGTCCTTAAATTTTTGTAAATTACATACCATTTAACTCCAAATAAGATATATTATATTAATAAAAAAAAAAAAAAAAAAAATTTTTTTCGGAGTCAATGACAATCTAATATTAATTCAAAGTGCCACAAATTTGAATAACAGATAATGTAAATCACACTTTTATTTGATCAATTGTTTTTTTTATAATTTTGTTCTTAGACTTCCATTTGTGAATCCCGAAAATTGAGGGATACAATTCACTGGAACTGGCCATTTAAACAAAGAAGAAGGAACATCAGACTTATCGAACCTAGACAACATTAAAATCCTTGAGATCCCCTCTCCCTCTTATCCCGGTCAAAAAAAGGAAGAAGAAAAAAAATAATCAGTGGTTCTTTCGCAATATTCTGAAACGAACCTTAGACCCATCCTCTATTCTCTGTCTCCTATATATCCTTTAGAAAAAGGAAGGGGATCTCTCCATCTCCAGGCGTGACGTCTGGTCGCCCGCACCGTTGCTTGGCCCAGGCGACACACACCATCATCACCTTCTGATTGCTCTCTCTTTTCACAAACACACGCACCCTTCTTCCCCCGGAGAGTTCTTGCTCTCAGGCGCAGCCGAGCGATCATATTAAGACAAAGATAGAAAAAAAAAAAGGAAAAAAAAAACACTCACCTCTCTCGATGTAGTAAACAAATCCGTTCCTTAGCGACCTTGAGCCTCTTTGAAATGATCTTCTTTAAATTTTCAATTGTCTCATTACGATCAACAGTTAAATCAAACTGTCCACCTGTCGTTGGCGTGATACTGATGGTGATTTCAGGATCCGTAACTGGAGAAACGACGCAGCCACACCCCGGCGATGACGATGGGGTTGCTGTCGTCGGCAATGCTGATCCGCGTCCACCGGCTGATGATGTACGAAAATCAGAATTTGCCATTGTTGCCAATGATGAGGTCGAAAATGTTGACGATGATGTCGGGGACGTTTCAGCCTCGTCATCAGCGGCGCTGCTACTGCTCCGCCCGGGATTATTGTCTCCCATTGCCGTCACGTCCGACGGCGACTTTCCAAATTAAGACCCGGGGTTTCTTCTCAAATCAACCTTGCCGTTGAACTTTGCACTCGATGAAAAAACACGAGACGCGCCCGCACCTGCACCTGTTCCACCACAGCCAGAGCGGCTTGAAAATTATTGCCTGATGGGTAGAAAAAAAAGGCTCGCCTTCTCCTTATGCAAGATCTCTTAATTTCACGAAACTATTCCTCAAAAAAAAAAAGGGGGAAAAAATGGACTCTTGATCGATATCCTGGTGATAATAGCTTGATAAAACACGTCACTAAAACACTGACACTGTTAGCACTGAGAGCTGATTCTTTACTAAGAAAAAACGATCTTGAATTATCTCTATGCGTCGCGCACGCACCCACTCGTCCTCCCTTCGATGCTCTACGTGAATATATCCGTCTTCACTGTGCTACACTCCCTTCATCGTGTAAGAGTAAAAAAAATCTTCCCAAGAGACCATCCGCATCCCACAAAGAGCAAACGAAAACTCAATTCTTGGCCAGCCCAACCGGCTGACCCAAGCCCCAGCCTCACATTAAAATAAATAATTAACTGCACACAAAACTAACCTTTAGGAAAATACTATTTCCCTATTGGTGGACAAACCCGCGCAAATTTGAAATATCTACTATCAAATAATTTATAAAATATTCTAAATATATTATAATTATTCTTAAACAATTTTCTAAAATATAAAAATTACTCTCAAACAATTATTTTAATTAAATTTAAAATAAAAAACTTAATTTATTGAAATAAAAGATCAACATTTTAAAAATTCGCGCAATTTGTCCACCAATCATAAATGGAACATATTAAGTCAACTTCACTTGCATTGAGCTAAAAGTTGTGAAATAAACTTTAGATTTTACAGGTGTATGAACTTTAAAATTCGAAAATATACACAAGTTTCTGAACCAATCAGAATCCTTTTTGCAGTTTATTTCAACAATGTGCCCCCTCTCTAAAAAATTTAGATCAAATTCGGTCACAGCTGCATCCACGCGCGTCGCGCTGCTGTCAACGAGACACTATATATGTATAATATATAGAAATAGACATTTCTTTTCATAAAAAAAAAAGTGACGCACCTTAGTATTTACGCGGTTTGTGATATTTCTACATGTATTTTAGTGCCGAACACTCGCGGCCTTAGTAAAAAATTATAATATAAATCCAAGTGTCAACGACAAATTATTTTACTCAATTTATAATCATAAAAATGAGGTTTGTATATAAAAACAACAGAAATTATATTTGTTAATTTTCCTATTCTACAGTTATATATGTATATATATTTCATTTTAATTTCTCATAAATATAGTATTTACGTTACTTATGCTTTTTTATGTTATCAAGAAGGTAGACAGATAATGAAAGCAAGTTTAAACAAGTGTCACGTTCAGTCGCCATGTTTTTCTCATTGACGTTTGTTGATGACTTGTCATTGGGAAAGTACGCTCTTTTTTGACGTTTCCCCGCACATGCTTTTAATTCACAATATCATATTATTTTTATTTCATTGAAAAAAAAATAAAATGCATTGCACTTATTAGTTTGAGATTTTTTTTAAGAATATTTTTATATTTTTTTCGTCCTTTGTTATATAGAAATATCAACACATTGTTTCTGAAATCTGATACTCTTTGTATATCATTTTTTTCTTTATCAAAATTTTATCGCTATGAAATTATAAAGAAAATTATAAAATTTTTTCTGAGAGATAACATATATGCAATTAAGTACGGTAAATAAAATTTATTTGCAACAGTTGTTTGTTTTTCTTTATGTAAAATGCGAATTTTTAATTAATAATTAGAATATCAAAATATTTTTATTTGTTAAATTATTAAATATGAAATGAAAATAAATTCCTTAAGAGGAAAACATTTTTTTTTTAAATAAGTATTAAAAATTTTAATTTTTTATACAGTGGCCGACCACAAATGACTACAATGAATGGAAAGAGGCTTTCGTCGATTCCTCCAAGACATCAAAATGAATCGACATCTCAGCATTTAGACCTCATTAGATATATATGTGATTGTAAGTACTAAAAATCAAATAAAAAAAATATATATATATAAATTTAATGGAAAATTATATAAATTTATTTTTTAGCATGGAATTCAGTATCCAGAGAATTGGATACATGCAATACGTCAAATTATAGAAATGGAGCAGCAACTGTCACGTATTATCAAGAGCGAGAACCGAATCCTCAACTCAAAGGTACGATAATTTAACTTTATGTTAATTTAAATTTATCAATAAATGTTTAAATTTAATTTATATTTCAACTGTATATAATTGATTTTTTAATTATAGATTTCCAACCATTTAATTTGGAAATTTGGTGGGGTCAACGCGTAATGCAGAGCATCACAAGAAATGCAAGCTCCTAGTGTCAAGCCCCAGGATTTGATCATAATCGAACATTCTTTCACAGGCACAAAAAACAAAAAAGATAGATGATCTTTATTATGTTTCTTGAAGGTTTTTGCGTCTAGACGCAATGTTCTCTTTTTTGTATTTCTTCAAATTTAAAAAAAAAAACTTCCTTCAAGAATATTTCGTCAAACACACACACGAAAGAATGACAATTTATTTTACGTACAGCAGGCCTGTTTGGATTTTGTTTTTTTTTAAAAGGACTGAAATTTAAATAAGGGAAGAAAGCAATATAGAACAAAAAAAAAAAAAAAGATTAGGAATGAAGAAATATTGAAAGGCAAAAGACTTTTTTTTTTAAATGTTTGCAGTTTACGACATTCCTTTATACCTTTGACCAATATTTGGATATATGTTTACGAGACTTTAACAATTCAGTCGTGCATGTCGTTTTCTGTATTCAAATTTTCTATAGTATTCTCTATATTATTTTTTTTCTCTCTTTTGTGCTTTACAGTACCTGGTTATACAAAATATATTTGATAACCAATTTTTTTAGGAAGTATTGATCTATTTATTTTATTTGAATTTGTTAGTTAACGATTGTGCGCATAAGCAACACAAGAATTTGAAGAGAAAAAAAAAACAATGAAGTTTATAAACTTTTTTTTTTCATTTTAAAATGAATGCTTCTTTTTTAAATTAGAAAAGAATTTCTAATGTTTTGCTCAGTTTATTCTCCTTGTTTTAAAATCAGAATTATTGTGTTAAAAAAAAATGCGAGAGATTAGAGATTAATAATTGTGTCTGATACAATTTTTACCAGTAAATGCTACGCCGTTTTCAGATTTATACAGAAAAAAAAAGAATATGTAAAGTGTTTTAGTGCTTGTTTTTAATTTACTCAATATTATACTTCGCTTTCGAAATTCAAATAAGAATCAATTCCAATAATGACGAATGCCTTCATTCTTATTTGAATATTTCGAAAGATTATTATTTTTTTAGATAGTGCGTTGCAAATGGTTTGTAATAAAAAAAAAAAAAAAAAAATATTGCACTTTATATAGCGCGAACTGAAAATTGCTACAGATTCAAGTAGATTTAAATTAAGATTATTATGTACACTGACATTATATATGTAATAGTACGACGTGTACTAAAAACTAACCAGATAACGTTTCTATAATGACAGAATAATAATGTCTTTGTACAGTAAAACTTATTTTAATTAATTATCCTTTGCCAATTTTTAAAAAATTAAAATATAGTTCAAATATATTTAAAATAGAATTTAATTGTTGCTATTTTAAATTTTAATTGTGCAGATTTTTTCATCTTTTCAAAAACTGCATATAATCACGATAGCCGTCATTTTTCTCGTAGTTTGAATCTTTTGACATCGGACATGCTTGATGAGCTGCATTTAATTTCAAATCAATTACAGTTTTTTCTAATTTAGAAAGACATCTTTCAATTGCCCTTTTTTCACTATTCAGCATCTGAAAGTTTTATTTTAAGGTTTATTTTTATTATTATTATTATTATTATTTATTATTAAAAAATGTTTTTTAATGTTTTTTTACCGTAACGCCAACATTTAATCGAGAAAATGAATTATTCGAATTTGTCAATTTAGTTTGAGAATAATTATTAATTAATTTAACTCTTGTAGTTTGAACTGCACAATTTAAACCACAATTTTTTAGTTTAACGATTTTTTCAATATTCCTAAGATAAACGTAAATTTTATCCATTGAAGCATCTTCATATTCAATTTCGTCATCTGTAAATTGAATTTTTAAAGGCAAATCATTTATGCTAAGTGAAAATTTTAATTTCATTTCTTTATTTTTGGAAAATTTGAAAATATATTCTTCATATGGTATCCCATTGAAATGAGATTGAAATAATTCAATATGTGGAATTATTGATTTTGCAACTTTTTTTAAATTTTCTGATGATTTATTTTTTGTTCGATTTGGAAAATTAGTTGTATTTTTTTCAATATGATTTTCATTTGAATTTATTGTTTCAAATTTTAAAGGCACAGTGAAATTTTCCAATTTTTTTATTATTTGATTAGATTCTGGATGAATAAAAGATTTATTGTGTACATCATCATTTGGAAGAATATTTCCACAAAAATTCTGATAATTTATTTGCTTTGGAGATTTATCTTTTTCTGGAATTTCTTCTTTTCTCGAATATTTTATCTGCAACTTATTGTTATTTCCAATTTTGTAAATTAAAATTAATTCTAAAATTAATTGTTTTTAATTTAAATTAATATCGAATTAGAAATATTCAGTACCTTCTTTTTGAGACTTTTGACAATTTCTTTTAAAACTGAATTTTGTAATCGAAGTTGTTTCTGTTCAGGAAAATTGTTATTCTCCTTGGCTTCCCAAGTGAGTTGTCGTAATTTTCGCATTTTTTCAACATAAATACAATCGTGTTTCTCCAAATTTCTCAAAACTAGATTAAAAAGTTGCGTGTGTTTGTTTTTTTTTCAAAAAATTCGATTCATTCTTTAAATGTGTGCCAATTTGAACGCACCTTCTGCTGAAATTTGACAAACTGATTCTACATTTACATTAAACTGTGCCAAAGTTTCAAGAAGATTTGCCAGTTCTAAGGTTTTCTCCTGTTTATTTTTGTTCTTCTGCTGAAGAATGTTCACCTGCTTCTCCAACATCTCCGACTGGAAGATTAAATTTTTTTCATTTTTTTTTTTTTTTTTTTTATTTATTTACTATTTTCTTTTATTTGATTTTTAATTAGAATTTCTTTTTAAAAAATGTGAAATATATTTTGTGATTTAAAATTAGAATTATCGGTTATAATGAAAATTAATTTATTATTTATTATAATATTATGTACCTTAATTCGAGCAGTTTCATAAAGTTTTATCAATTCTTGAAAATGTTTTTCTGCACTGTTACGCGTTACTTGCAAAATATCTTCACATTCTCTTTTCATGCATATGATAAAATTTTCTCGCTCTAACTCACTCCTATGTAGGAAATAATTATTTCAATTTAGAGTTATTAATATTAAAAATTAAAATAATTATTAAATTATTAAATATTCTTGATAATTAAATTATTATTAACAATAATATTAATAGATTATTTAGTATTATTTTTTAGAGAATCCGGAATCTTACGTTCTTTGTTGCAAAAGAAAAGCTTTTTTCCAATAATCACTTTCATTAATTGCCTTCATTAATCTTGATGCAAATTTAGCTCTGATTTAAGTTTTTTCCTCTATAAAATTTTCTCTAATCTGTCACAAATACATTATTTTAGATATTAATAGAAAATTTTACTAGAAAATTAACATTTGAAAATCAATGTTAATAATTAATTAAATCTAATTTTATTTCTAATCAATATTTAATATTTATTTCAAATTAGAATTTTGAATACTTTTTTTTTTTTTTTTTTTTTTAAATTGGCATCAGTTGAATTTTTCGTTTTGCTTTTGCAAATTCTCTAAAACTATATCAAATTTCTCTTAATTTGAATGAAAGCGGTAAGGTTATTTTTTTTAAAAATACCTTCAAATAACGAAAAACAAAAATTTTGGTAGTGAACATTTACTCGTGTTTATAGTTTGTGTGGGTGGTTGAAACGAATGTCAGCGAGACAGTAAAAGTGACGCGAGTATAAAATGACGTCAACAACGCACTTTGGTTTCGAAAAAGAAAAAAAAGTTAATAATACGTTAAAAATAAATCTCGAAAATTTACGATTTTTTATATTATAAAAAAATATTCATTTAATCGAGATTTTTTTTAATCCCACAAAATTTAATTAAAAGAATCTTTATTTAGAGGAATTTTCGCATTTAGCAAGTTTAATTTTTTTTGAAATCTTTCGGTTAAATTAAAATTCTGTTAATTAAAAGTTCAAATATATAAAAAATTTTCTTTAGTAAAAATTTGGATTACTATAAATTTGATTGAATAAAATTTTCATTATTGGAAATTTGAAATAATAAGTTTGAGAAAATGATAATCTTAGGAATTATTTCAGGTATATTTTTTCTGTGAATTTGAAAATACTTTTTTTGAGAGATTTTTGTTTCCTCGTGATGTTAAGGAGAAAAAAGATTTTTTTTTTTTGCTTTTGCCAGGAATTAATGGCATGTGAGATAGTAGTGTGTGGATTATATATGAAAGGGGGGTCGAAAATAACTTAGCATGTTAAGAGGAAAGGGGGGAAAAAAAGAGGGGGAAGGGGTATTTGGGAGAGAGAAGAAATGTTGGTGGAGGAGTAGGTGGTCGTTGAAGTTTGCTTTTGCTATTGAGTTTAGTGTGTTCCACCTTCCGAAGTACTACTCGAGTTTTCAACGTTTTAAACTTTTAGGTAAGTATTTTTGCGTCATTGGATTCCGACAAAAAAGGATTGCAAGGAAGTGCATCGTTTACCCTCTCTGTCTGACAAATTTTCTTATTGAAGAAGGAGTCAAGAGGGATGGTATTACACACATATACAGATGCATTCGTCGCAACGCTCAATTTACCAACGCGCCACTCTTACTGTCAACTTATTTTATTCTTAATATTTTCTTTTTTTTTAATTTTTCCTTTTACATTCGTTCAAGTAACTAGGAAAATAAGTTTTTATTAATATTAGATCATTTTTTTTCCCGCATTACAATTTTTTTACAATAATTATTATATTTAACATAATTTATTATTTTATTTAATTCTAATTAATTAATTTTCATAAAATTCGAAAATTCGAAGCGAAAATATTTTAATTAACTTTGTAAGATTTTGTAATATTTATTTAATTTAAGGTAATTTATTAATGATTCAATGTATTTTTTATTATGATATTAAAAAAAAATTTTTTTGTCCCACTGGGTTAAGTATAGTATTTTTGTGATTTAATTTTTTTAAAATATTTTAATTTTCATATTTTTATTATATCTTTTTCTAAACACGTAATTTTATCTATTTTTATTTGGTTTTATTATACATGAAATGAAAATCTATCAAACGATTTATATTGGTAATAAATAATAATAAATTCAAGTTTGCGTTGAATTATTTTATTTATTTCCTTGATTTTGTGTGAATAATATAATGAAATAGAATTTTGAAAATAAATTGAAATAAAATTCCTATTTAAATATTTATAGATTATAGCTATCAGGAAATGATCTTGGGAAAATTTATTTCCGTTAGAATCAAATTTCACACAACTATAGACTATCAAAATCTAGAAATGAGAGTGTGAAAAGAGAAACGAAAATTGCGTGTCTAAGATATATTCGGAGGAATTTTGTAGCAAAAATAACTACTCTCTGGACCACTCGTTTCTTGTTCACTGGGACGTTGTTAGTTTTAGTTATTTTGTAATATATACATATAAGTTTTGTCACGTTTTCCGGAAGAGAAAACACATGCTCTTTCGTGCGCTAAAACCCCGTAAAAAACAAAAATATAAAAAAAATCATTTCATCTAAATTAAAAATATCGACATAGCAAAGGGGTTCTGTTATCGATGATTTGAAAAAAATAATTAAATATTTTTGATAACCTAATTTTCTTTTTATAAATTCTAGATTAGAAATTAATTTGAAATTTACATAATTATTAATTCTCTAATAATATTTCCATTCAGAATAATGTGAATAGAGAGATAATAGAAGTTAATAATAGAATTAACTCGAAAGATCATTGATCTCTTAAGAAAGTTAAATTTAACAAATGAAATGTGAAATTTCGAATTTTACATCATTCGCGTCTTTAATTTTCTTGGCGCACAATAATATGTCTAATAATTAACAGAATTTCACAATTAGAATATTATTTTATTATATTTTTAACAATATATTTATATTCAAATTTATTTTCAATAATTATCGGAATTTTTGAATTTTTATTTCAGAAATTAGAAACTAAAAAAATAAAAATCAAGCACAATGTCCGGCCCAGGGCCAAAGTTTGTGAACAACCAGTTTAATTCTCCTATCAAATTATATTCACCACAGTCAATCCAGGAAACGTTGGATCGCCAAACTCAAATTCTAGCCAACGGTGCAATCGGGTAAGAATAATAATAAATTTATATTTATTTTAAATGTGAAAAATTGTATTTACAAAATAGCAACCACTAGAATTTTATATTTGTTTTCGCAAATTCGTATAAATAAGAAAATTGTTTGCGATTAAGAAAAAAAGAAAAAATTCCCCTTTGAAAAAAAATAATGCATCGTCCTTGAATTGTGAAATTTTAGATTTAACCATTTATTGCGAATGAAAGATAAAAATAAAATTTTGAGGAAGAATTTTCAAATTATTATTATTATTATTATATTAATGACACTTGCCAGAAGAAGAAGAAGAGAATCTAATTGTCCAAGAAAATCGCAGACTAGAGGGCAATTAAAATAAAATTAAAATCGAAAACTATTTCATATATGTATTATTGGACACAAAAGAAAACAAGATTAGTGACTTATTGGCGCAGAAGTGTAAAATATGTATTACAACTTGGACTCATTATTTCCCTTGAGGCAAATAGATGTTTGTTTTAGACTTTAAAATTAACTCAGACGTATTATAAGAGTGAGATAAAATTTTTCGGGAAAAGTGCATTAAAGATGTGATGAAAGATATTTCACTTATAAATATATATTTATTTATTTCAACTATAATAATTATAATTTCAATGCTTTCTTTGGCAAATGAATGAAATATGACATGAAATTATTATATCGAAAACAAAAATATTCTTGGGAAAAAATAATTATACATTTTTGTATTGATTCTAAAAAATTGAAAATAAGATATTTTTTTTTTTAGAAAAAAATAAGAATTTAATTTTAATTAAATTAATTTTAGGAATTGTATTTTGCAAATAAAGGAAGCACGTCGATCATGAATGAAATCACCGAATGTCTGGTGATGATCATATTCTTGCGCTCAGTGACCCTCTGGTCTGTATAGGTCGCGGCTTTACGATTGACAGATGTTGCTATACTGACGTCATTGTATATACAATTCTAAATGATTCGGATGAATCAAAGATAGAGAGAGAGAGAGAGAGAAAGATGATTTTATAAAAATATTAAGCCAAAGTGGTGATCGGTATAAACTTGTAAAGATTATTTTCAGAAACGCGAATCATCGCATGATAGAAATAAACCCCTGGATGTGAGCTTAAACTATACTCTGTGTGTGTTGCGCAAAGAACCGCAAAGTCGTCCGTACTTGACTTAGTTTCGCGTTTGATGGCCTCAGGTATTCACTTAATATCTGAAAGTGTCTAATCGGTTTCACTTTACTATAAAGATTCGCCTTAATTGTATAATTTTATAAAATCCATACTAGAGCAATCATGATCGAGGAACGAAGGTGATGATCGACTTTTCTTGCCAAACAATTTTCTATCTCGATTTTTTTTTACATCTAAGAAACCCTTTTTTATGGATTTGAAATTTTGCAATAAAAATATTTATCAATCTCAACAGGAATGCTATTTTTTTGCAAAGTGATTCTATTAGTGACAAAAAAGTTCTTTCAAAAAAAGAAAATATGTAAAATTCCAAAAAAATTGAATTAAATTGATAATAATTAATAATTAATAATTAATAATTACTAATCAATAAATAATGAAAATATTAATTGAATTATAAATTATTAAAGGAAAAAAATTCTTTTAAAGGGAAATGAATTCAAAATATTTAAATTACAAAAATTATTATTAAAATATAAAAAAAATAAATGTTTAATGATACTTAAATTGAAAGAAATTAATTTTAATTAATGTACTAATTTTCACAAATTTATATTGACTAAAGTAATTAATTTTTTTTTTTTTTAAATTTACAAAATAAATTTTATATTACAGGATCGATTTCAACCAGTTAGCCAAACCGGCGAATCTCCAAAATAGCGCAGTGCTTCGGATGCTCGAAGAAGAGGAGATCAGAAAACGCAATGGACAACAACCTAGTGAGTCATTTGAAAATTCCAAATCTTATAATCACCTACTTTTTAATTTTCAAAAAACAAAAAAATTCTTCATAATTTTTTATCATTTTTAAATCTATTTTTCCGTATTTGTTTTAAATTTTTATCGAAAAATTCCTCCGAATAAACTTATAATTTAAATTATATACAAGATAATTATTTTTTTTGTAATAATAAAAAAAATGTGACCTTCTACATATGATATGACAGACTTTCCAGAAGCACGTGAGACATCCCCTCCCCCCACCCTTCTTTAAATATTGTTAACTCCCACCCTTGTCTTGACCGTGAAGAGATGTCTAAAATCAGTCTCAAGATAGTTTCTAACAATAATCAAGTAGACCATGGAATAGGTTTAGTTGTTGGCCAGTATTCGTATTGGCAAAGTCACGATAATCACACTTTTTTTACCTCAATCTATAATTTGATCAAAAAAGGTACAAAAAAAAAACTATTGGTGAAATTTGTGTATAAAGAAAAACCACTCGAAACTATAACTTGAATAAGTTTGTAATTTATCACAAAAAAAAAAATACTATCCATTTTTATATTTTGAAAATTAATATGGTTTTTAAAAAATATTATTTATTTAAATGTTATTTATTATTAAAATTTTAAATATTATTTAAATATATTTAATTTATAATTTAATTTTATATTTTTATTTATTTAATTTTTCAGTTTTTACAATATTTTATCCCGTTATAGAATTATTATTTTTAAAAATTATTAAAATAATTAAATTTAATTAATGGCAACAAAAATTAATTTTTTTGTAATTATAAGTGAAAGAAGTTAAAGGCTTATTTAAATCTTCAGGATCATATTTAAGTAGTATAAAAGTGCTAGTGAGTGGTCCCAAGTGGAAAAAACCTTCTTTGGTCAGACACAATTGAAAGTATCGTTTCATTTCAATTATATTATCTAAATTTTAAATAACGTGTAAATTAATTATAATTCTAAATTATTAAAATTAATTAATTAATAGAAAATAATTCCTAATTAATTATATAATTAATAATAAAACTTTACGATGATTTAATTATTAGAAACTTTTATAAATTTCCTACACTAATTATTTTTGTTTATATTTTCCTAAAATAAAATTTTAATTTTTTAATTTTTAATAAAAATTTTTGATTTTAATTTTATTCTCTTATTCATTTTAGATGGCACCTTATTTTGCCATCATATTACGAAATCTTTAAATTGCATCCAAGTTATATCATTTGCCAAAAATTATCCGCCTTTATTCAAGTTCAAATTATTCCAAATGTTTTTTTAAATGATTTCTTGTTTTTCTCTCTTGTTTAAATATAAAGTAAATTTATATTTAATTAAAACGACTCTTCTTCAAATAGAAGGATCATTAAAATTATAATATAAATCTTAATTATAAATAAATTTTTTTATTCGAAATTCATTTTCTGTATAAATCATGAAATGGGAATAACATTTTCTCAATAATTGCAAAATTTTTGAAATATAATTAATAACGAATACGCGAATAAAAAATAAAATATAGAAAATTGTCAATAAAAATGTCATATAATATTATATAATTAAAATATTATAAAATCTATATTTGTTTAAAACGAATTATAGATCTGAAACGTGTTGCGTGGCCTCCTCCGCCAGAGGATCAAGATATTGACGAGTACATTGAACAAGGTCCTGTTCAAGCCAAGGTAATCTTTAATAAATACGCGATTTTCAAATATAATAAAGCTTACTCTTTTAGTGAAACCGACGTTGCATTAATCTTCTACACCAACGCAAACCTTATGATGCCAAATTTTTATTGAGTGAGTCTCTCTCTTAACAATGTATTGTAACTGACAAAATAAAAATAATATATATATATTTTGAAAATAATTTTCAAACTTTATTACTTTATAAAATAGAAATAAAGTATGAATTATTAACGCTTTTTTGATCTACTATAAAAATTCCAAAGATAACTGCAATATGGTTTCGCTAAAAAAAAATTAATTTTACATTTATAATTAATAAATCAAGGACCATTCTAAAGTTCCTAGTTGACTGCACATAGTTTTCGAGGCCTAGAGGGTCTAACAGAAACTTTTTATTTAATCTTTTATCCATAATATTGTCATTCCTTGCATTCCAATATTTTACTAAAATTAGAAAATGATTTATATAAAAAAAAACCAAGTGAATAATGTAAAACAATAAGAATGCAAGAATTGACCTATATTTTGGGAAAATTATATATTTCTTGTTTAAAAAAAAAAAAAGACTCGTGGAATTGGCGAATACGCCACGTACCAGAGTAGTCCATCGCCCCAGAATTTTGCACAAACATCGCCAACGCCAGTGAGTCCTGGTGGTACATTACGTCAACCCTCACACTTTCAACAACAAAAATCGGCTAAAGGTTGGGCACCTGTTACACCCCCAGCCACCTCTCCTTTGCCCCAAACAATTCTCCAGCCACCCAATTGGAATCAATCATCACAACAATCGCCAACACATTTGCAAACTCAGGTGAGTTTCAATAAAAATTTAACACGAAATTTTATATATCCTTCTTTTTCATTCTTTAAATATTCCATTAGGCAATACACTTTTATCCCAGATCTATAATTCGTCTTTTATTATAATTTTAATTTTTAGTGTATGCCACTTACTTTTGCCGTAAACGATGAAGCGATTGATTTTTTATTATTTTTAAACCTGAAACAAAAAAAGTTGACAATTAATTGACGAAAATTAATTACAGATTTTTCAGAATTATATAAAGTATGTATACAAAAAATTTATTTATTTATATAATTTTTATATTGTGACTAATTATTGTTTCTTCATATAGCATTTTTCATTATAATAATTTATTGTTTCTTTTTTAATAAATATCATTCATAATTCATATAAATTAAAAATTTACAAATCTCGAAGGAAATGTGTAGTCAACTGATGAATTGTGATATTGGAATGTTATTAATAAAATTAAATTTACTTGTTTTTCTTTTTAAATGTCAAAATATATCGAAATATTCTTTTTTAAAACACAAGAATAGAGATTCCAGAAGATAGAACGTTATTTTTAAATTCCTATTTTCAAAAATATAAAATTAAGTTCTCAAATATTTTCACAAACGACAAATCATTCAACAAAGACAATTTATAGATTTTTCTTGATATAAATATATATATATTCCACAAGAAGATGAAATAAGTTTGAAATAAAAATTTGTTTACAGAGCTCAGTGGATCGAACGCGACAACCTTATTCGTCACCAGTTTCTACTTTTGAAGCACCACCTTCGATTATCACATTGAGGCCAGAACCACCAATTTCTCAGGTAATTTGTTATTATAATTTGATATATTAATTTTTATCTTGGACAAATGGAGAATAAATTCGATACTTTCGAAATAATATTTAATTGTCGTATTTCTTTTTTTTAAAAAACAAAAAGCTAAAGTAAACGTCAGACTTACTAACTACTGATTAAGTGGCTGAATAAAATTGACGTGTTCCTTAAAAATAACTTTCAACAAAACTAATGTCTTAGATAATATACATGAAATCGAAAAGAGTGTGCGAATGTTGTAATACTAAATCCTCTCTCATAATTTATCAAAGTTGAACATTCATAATGACACAGTCCACTTGGCAATTTCTCAATTGCTATTAGGCACATTATTAATGCTACAATAATATTCAACTAAATATCTGTCTCAATTCTAGGGATAAGGTTAATTCATTTGTTATTGTATATACAATTTGTACTCTTCCTACAGAAAAATCGAAATAAAAATCTTTGACTTGCTTACCGATTTGAGGATAAATAAATTGATATTTATGAAAATAAAAACATAATTATTGTTACAAATGGAAAAATTATTGAACATTATTGGTCAATACAAATTGAGAAAATTTGAATAATTAATAAGATAATTAACATTAAAAAGATATCTTACCTACCGTGATGACGCCTTCTGTTTGTCGATGATCACGTTGTTAACCTCAAATTCCCAAATCGAAAATTCTCCACTTGTCAATGTAGATGATATAAAAATTAACTGATATAATCACTTATTATTATTGTTTTATCCTCTAAAACACTTATTTTAGGTAACAAAGAATAAAATATCACATTTTTACTGAATATAAACAAAAAAATTGTAATGTCATAACTAAGCGAACTTCAAACACGTTTATCGAATCACCACTATTTTGATTTTATCAAAACTTTCACTATAATAACACTACATTTACTTTCCGAACTTTTACACCAACTTTTATAATTTAATTACCATTCTAAATAAACAAAATTCAATTAATTTTTACCAAATCTCAAAAAACGGTTGCGCGGCATCAAGTTCTACTTCACTTTTTAAAATGAACGACACTAGCGCCCTCAATTAGGTAGTAGTTCCAAACAACACCGAGAGATGGCTCTGAAACTCGGTTTTTTTATTTTTGACATTTATAGGTTAGAAGTTTATTTATAAACACACGTGTCATCATCTGGACAGATATTTTTATAAAAAAAATGATTAAAAATTTTATTAAAAGTGACAAACATTGAGAAGTGAGAAATCAAAGTATGGAGAATATTGTTGATTTACATTGGTTTCCCTTAATTTCACAGGGAAATATTTATTCACTCACTAATTTAAAATCAACAAAAAATGCCAATAAAGTTTTAGTTGCATCATTAAAAAGAAATATTTATCTATGCGAATGTCAAATATTACCAAAAAATCAAATAAATCCTTTAATTAAAGAATTATTATTCACATATATTCCAAGTGGAGCGGAAATTATTTCCATTGACGCGTACAATAAATCAAAAGAAGATGATGAATTTGTTATTGGAATTACAATAATGAAATATAGCAGTGAAACTTCAGTTGAAAGGTATTTAAATATTTATTCAGAAGGTGCTGGAGATGCTGAGGATAATTCTATTGAAGCAATTGCACAAAATTGTCTCATGGTTGAATTAAATTATACTCCTTATCATTTATATCATACAGTCATTTCACAGGATTTGGAAAAAGAAATTGTTTGGTTAATATCGGGAGATGATTTTAAAGTTCATATGATAAGGGAAGATAAAACAAGTCATGGATACATTGAATCGGAAATTGATAAATATTTTCCGGAATTTAATGAATTGAAAGCAATTGCTTTATGGATGGATATTTATTATTATGAAGATTATAAACGACGACTTACTGTTGTTGGTTGTGAATGTGGATTAGTTAAAGTAGCGGAAATTGATGTAATCAAAGTGGAAATTACTCGCCATTGGTCGCTTAGGTATATATTCTATTAAATTTTGTTATTAAATGAAAAAAAGTAAATTGCAATATTTTTAATTTGAATAAATTATCAATGTTCATTTAGATATGACAGTCCAGTATCAGGAGTTCGTATATTTACTCATAGAAATTTAATTGAGAAGCCATTATATTTGGATATGATACCTGACGTTGAAGTGAATATTAATTTTAATATTCTTGTAAATACAGCGAGTACGACAATAATATTTGAGAATGTTTTAAAGCAAGGATTGGAAAATGATATTAAATTGAGAAACAACGATCCAACGGCTTGTGTTCTTTGTTGTTGTATCGCGGACATAAATATGGATAATCAAAATGAAATTTTACTTGGCACGTACGAACGAGAAGTTTTAGTTTTCGCAAATCGAAACGGAAGTTGGGAAATGACTAGTAAAAAATTATTTGACGCTGCAATTCATTCTATATGTTATACGGATTTAACTGGCGATGGTGTGAATGAACTCGTCGTTCTCACTCAAAGAAGTGTTCATATTTTACAGCACGATTCGAAAATAATTGCAGAACTCTGGAGAGAACGTTATCAGGCCTTGATAGCCGATAAACTAAAAGACTGAATAAAATAAGAAATATATTTTGAAATGTAATCAACATTTTTTTTTTTTTTTTACAAAAACACAAATTCCTTTTTATTAAATTAAATCCTTTGAAAATCAAATTCAGGATATTTTTTATAATTATCAAAGTTTTATTTTAATGCATTTTTTTTCTAGAAACCAGCACCTGTTTATTTAGCACAACCGGCAGCGACAAAAGCACCGATAAGTGGCAATATGAGGGGAGATCAAAAATGGCCACCGGAAAGTGTAAAAGTTCAGACAGAGGCGGAAAATAAGGCTCGAATGGAATTAGCGAAAGGACCCGTTTGTAGACCGCGAAGAGTAAGAAAAGATTATAGTGGATTTTTTGCGCAACACGCCTTGAATAGTACTTATCCTGGTTATAGAGCACCACCAGGAACTCAGTACTTTACTCCCGGGTATCAAAACTAAACGAAAAGAAACTAGTTTCTAAGTCTTTTTTTTTTTTAAATCTCGAAGACTGCGATCAAGTTGCAAATTTTCCTTTATTAAAATCGCCAAGGAAACATAAAAAAATTGCAACAAAAAAAATAATATATCAAAACAGTAACAAATTACCTCTCAATGAATTTTACAATCAAATTTCAAAAACTTTCATTTTATAAATTACTATAAATTTATTAAAATATAAATTCAAATTAATATATTATTAATATTTATTAACAGTATGTTAAAATTTAATTTATATAATTTAAAAAATTTTCTTTTAAAGAGTACCGCAAGTTTTGTTGACTGAAAGAAATTATATAATTCAATTTTTCTTTTCGCCAATTGCTTTGGCTCGCGTTTTTATTAATAAATTGAGAAACTAACGCTTCTGATCGCAAAATATTTGATGCAGGGCATTGTGTTTTAAAAAAAAGTCGAGAAATAACAAAATATCGAAAATTTAGCTTCGAAGATAGTCGAATCTATGTACACACACAAACACACACGCGCGCGCGAAATAAAAAATAAACAAATCGAAACCAAAACTCGAGACGAACGAAAAATCGAAAATAAAAAGCTGTGAATGTAAATACGAAAGGGATATTAATATTTTTGTAATGTAATTCAAGTATAGGTAACCGACTAACGATTATCCTTTTTAAAATGGTGTATTATATATGTATATATATATATTGCCATGAATAAATGTAATAAAAGTTTTTGAGACTTATTTATTTTAAACTAAAATATTATTTTTATTCATAAAATACAGAAGCCCAAAAATTAGATTCCTTTTTTTCTTTCAAGATAAATAGATTTGTATATTATATATAAATATGTTTAACAACAGTATTCGACTACCTTTTATAGAGAGAATAAAAAGTAAAATATTTATCATTAGCAATAAATAATAAATAAATGCTTATCTGCAAAAATCTTTGTACAAATTTTCTTTTTACAGTTTAGTCATAATTCTGCATTGTACATACATGTTCAATATTTAAACATTTCCCAAATAACACTTCCCTGAGTTTTCATTTATTATTTAAAAAAAAAGATTGTTAACTATAAAATAATTGTTTCGTATTTTTAAAAAATTAAATTTCCTTTAAAGCGTCAAATCATATTATTAATAATATCAATTTAAAGAATTTTTTTAAAATATATATTTTTTAATGTACTTTTAGTTGTAAATTTTTCGTTGAATTAGTTTTTATAAGTGTCAAAATTAATCAAATTCTAAACTAAAGAAAAACCTTGCGTTTGCTGAATTGCCTGTAATAATTTATATCTTAATTTTTCTCGAGTTTGATATCGTGGCAAGTCTAAAAGATTAAAACAAGTGTGAGCAACAGGAAGGAATCTTTCGTCTGTCATTGGTTGAATCGTTATCTGGAATTGTATTCTTAATATTATAAAAGTGTATTCCAATTAATTGAATTGTGTAATTAATTTAAAGTTGAAAGAATTAATTGTTTTTTAAGGTTAATTAAAATTTTTTGTCGAAAAGAATTAATTAGTTCCTTTAATTAAATGAAAAATTGTACTAAAAAAAAAATGACTCACCTTGATTGCTTTCATTCCTTGAATGGGAATTCGATCACTGCCAGTCAAAAAGAGTAAAAATTTCTTCTTTTCTTCCAAAGATAATTCATGAAAAACTTGCCAAAAAAGAACAATAGTTGGATCATTCTTTGTGTATCCTTCTTTGTAGCTAGCATTTTTTTCAAGCTCTTCCCAATCATAATTTTCATTTCCAACAACTACAGCCATTAATTCATGACTGTGAAAGAGTTGTAATACACGACCACCGCAAACTTTATGAAAACCTTTGTTAAATTCATCAAATTGATTTTCCACCGATTTATTTAAAATATAATCTACCATCAGGTCCACGTATTGTTTCCTAAACATTAAAGAATAATCAAAAATATTAGAAATAAGAAGAGCTTATCAGTTTTAATTAAAGGCCCAAAATTTTAAATTAATTTAAGATTTAAAAAAAATGCTTACTTATTTTCTAGAGTAACAGGAACTTTACCTCCGCCAGGTATTAATTCGTAAATTTTATTCTCTCCATAAACTTCTCTAGTAATTTCAAAATTGAGACAAAAAACATCTTCAAAATCAGTCTCTGTGTAATTCAAAATATCCTGAAAACTCCTGTAAGAAAAATTAAAAATGTATATAAAAAATAATTTTTTTTTTGCAAACTTATTAATAATATATATGTATATATTACTTGGCGCAAATTGGATCCATATCCTTGATATCATTAAGACCAACTGGCTCGTTTAAAAGTTTTTTGTATAGTGCTAAAGGAAATGGTAAGTCAATTATGATGAAATTGTAGATAGCAAGACCACAAAGTAATCCAATCAGGAAATACATTTTTACATCCTCAAATGTATATTCATTGAACCAAATTGTTCTTGTTTCCTCATATTCCTTGAACATTCCATATTTTGGATCTAATATTTCCTTGAGAAGAAGCATGAAAAATTCTTTCTTTACTCCACCTGCATCCTCTGCCTCTTCACCGTGAAATTTTACCTTTAAAATAGAAAAAAAAACAATGAAAAAACAACTTCTTTTTAAATAGAAACTAAAAATACTTACTCTAAGTGGTTTTTTCAAATCTCTCGACTCATATTGAGATAATTCTCTCAGTGTATCGTCGACTAAATTTTCTCGAGAAACATTAAGCATGACAAATTGCTGAACAGGATCAGAAGTTGAGAACATATTTAAAAACATGTGGGTAATATTCCTTGTGGCTGCTTCATTCATCGCTGATTGCATCTAAAATAAACGAAAAAAAAACCATTGTAAATTCTGAATAATTTAAATATCACAATATTAATTAAATTATTAAATTAATGGAAATTATACCTGAATAGCTTGATCAGTTTCAAGCAATATTGTCTTTGCTTCCGCATCAAAAAGAAATGGAAAATCACATAAATGTATTCTTTGCTGTAAATTAAATAACAAAAAAAGAATTAATCTCAATTAAATCAAATTCTAAAGGAAATAAGAATAGAAATATAAAACATTTACCGATCGACTATTGTCCGTTAACCATATATAATAATCCAATTGAATATTTACAAGATTCACTAAATCAGGCAAATGAAATACATCATATGATACTCGTTGACCTTCTGAATTTTGATTGAGATCGTAGAGAAATTTTAACATTGTCAGAGCAAGTTTCAACATGTAGTCTTGAATGATGGGCTGATAGTTTAAAAAAATTTTTATATCTTTAGAAAATACACATAAATTCATTTGATTAAACAATTCTTAATTCTTACTTTATTTTCCGTGATTTTTGTTTCTTTCAAAAAATTTTGTACCAATGCTTTATAGATTCGTACTAATCGTTCAAAATAAAATGCCGGTGTATTTCTCCACCAAAGACCAACAATTTTTCTTGCCTCGAGTTTTAAATCTAGCACTGATTTTGTAAATGGTCTATGAAGAGTATTGCAATTCAAAGGATCGGCAAATCCATGATAGAGAGGCAATAAAACATAAATTCTCAGTGTCTCTACATCCGGTGGCGATGGTGCCAAAGATTTTAGAAGATCCAAAATACAATTCGAAATCTAGTAATTATTATATAATTTTAAAAGTGAATCATTTTATTTTAATTAATTATTAATATTCAATTTTTATTACCAATTCTTTAATAGTTGCATTATCAAATTCGGAAATGATGCCAAATAATTTTTTCGCTTGATTAATATCAATGCCATGATGTTTACTGGAACATCCATAATGTGCATCATTCGCAAGAAGAAAAGATGCATTAATGCAAGCCAAACTTCTAAAAACAGTCTCTAGATATCTGAGAAATGTAATTTTTTATTATTATTTTAGTAAATTTTACAATATATTAATTTAGAATTAATTTTGCAAGCTTACGTGAAAAGATCATGATCAATGGAAGCTCCAAAAGAAACTTTTTGACAGGCAATTAATTGCTCCTCTGTTATGGTCAATATTTGCGAGCTTGATGGTAATATTCTACAATCATCGGGATTAATATTATCCTTTATTTGTGTCACTGTTACAAAACAATGATTTCCACTTCCGCCGCTAAAGATATGTTTCAGGGCACAATTCTTCGTGTATGGACTAAGAGAAGGTTCAACTTTACTGCTGAAAACATCATTTGAAGATAACCATGGTCCAAGTACGACTTGTGGTGTTGTTACACTTTTTGCAACACGAATTCCTAATTGTCCTGCGCCACCTAAACCCCAAGAATAAGCTCTTCCTCCTCTTGAAACAAAGGCCAGTGTATGTTTTCTTCCACAAACCACCTATTATGTTGATTACTCATAAAATTAAAAAAAAAACACACACATTTTGCAAATTTTAATAATTATTTCAAATACCTACTTGGGTAACAACACTACCCATTAGTTCAGCGACTTGACGTGGTAAAATTTCGTTGCTATAACTCCCATGTCCGAGTTGACCGTACATTCCAGCGCCACATGTAAATACACCACCGTCCTTGAAAAGAATAAAATTTTTCCTATTTTCGACAACTAATTTAAAATTTTTAATTATTGAGATTTTATTTTCTTACCATTGTTAAAAACACTGAAAATTCTTCTCCACATGACACATATCGAACTTTTGAATTTCTTAATGTCCTTAATTGCGATGGAAGATTTCTTCCTTGAGTATCATTTAATCCTAGTTGACCAAAATTGTTCTTTCCCCAACCAAAAATTGCTCCTGAATATTAACAGAATTCAATTTTTAATTTACAATAAATTTAAATTGTACTCAATTATAATTAATGCATTTAATTTAAAAACACACAGTTTACCTGATTTTGATACGACTATACTATGATAACCACCACAGGCAATAAAAGCAATTGGAATACCAGCTAAACTAGAGATTAGTTTCGGTTTGAGTTCTTTTTTAATATGCGAACCAATTCCCAATTGACCTTCTTTATTTGATCCCCAAGAATATAATTCTCCATTATTTGTTAAAGCCAGTGCATGCTTCAGACCACAAGCTATTTGAACAACTATCCTTGTTGCTAGGGCCTTTAGCATTCGAGGTATCCTCTCAGCAATCGATGACGAATCTAATCCTTTAAATTTTTTACATTTAATTTAATTTATCTAATTAATTTTTTGTTATTATGTAGGCTAAATTTTATGATACCTAATTGTCCCTCAGTATTGCATCCCCAACAAAAAACTTGACCCCATTCATTAATAACCAAACTGTGATAAGCACCACATGCAACTTTTTTGAATGCAAAAGTTTCTAATTCTGGAATTAACTCTGAAAAAGGAAAAAAATTGACATTAAAAACTGATAATAAAAGAAAGAAAACATTTCTTTTTAAAACGATTAACACTTACCTAATCTTTTTTTTCTATCTTTCTCATGTCCTAACTGTCCAAAGTCATTATTTCCACACGAATACATTTGTCCATCTCGAGTAATAACAATTGTGTAATTTTCACCACAGGCAACTGAAAAACAAATTTTCCATGAATTTTAACGATAATGCTAATAATAAAAGCAATTAGTATTCAATATTCAGAAATTTACATTAAAAACTATATAAAGATAAATTAAAAAATAATAATAAAGAAGAATTGAATGTTATTTACTTTGTTCGACTTCTGAAGCTTTTTCAAAATCAATTACTCGTGGTGAAAGAATATTTTCATCTTCAATTCCACCGAGACCAAGTTCTCCATGTACAGTACTTCCCCAGCAAAACATTTCTTTTTGTAAATTCGTTTGCGTTATTATCAAATCAAAATCACTGTCCAAACGGCGTTTTTTCGACCAACTTGCCTGGATGCAAAATTAAATATATTAGTTTTTTTTAAATATATAATTATTGTACCACATATTTTATTGCAATGAAAATGGAAAATCAAATTTAACGAAATGGCGATAAATAATGTTTTATTAAGCTAAATGAAATGAAAATAAAACAAAATGATAATAAATTTGACTTACTACTAATGAAAATAAATACAAATTAAATCTTAACGATTGATGATAATTAACATAATATACATTAATTACTGTGTTAGTGATGCAATAATAATAATAAATTATAAATATTAACTGAATCACATATTAAAATAACATTTTCACAGACATGCTCGCTTGAACAATGAAAATAATTTTTTTTTTCATAATGATCTAAATACGTTTTCTATATACAAAAAAAAAAAAAAAAACCATAATCATTTAAGCAAATTACAGATATTTGATAAACTAACCATGTTGAATCTGATGTTTGCATAGTTCTATAAGGTAAACTCTTCAAGAAATTCAGGTGATATAATGTTTTTTAAAGCACATGGTTAATCCTAGAAACATTTTCAAGTTTATGAAAAATTATATTTACTATTTTAGAACAGATTCCTTCCTCGTATACAACAAAACAATTTTAATTAACATATATGATTTGTATAATTAAATTTTTTTTGACATATACTTTATAACCTCGTATCAAAAAATGAATCAAATAAAAAAAAAACAATTAATTTATCAAATTAAATTCAGTAATGATTTTTTAAACAAAATACGTTTTTATAAATAAAAAGTAAAGTATTTATATATTCTTTCTCAAAATCAAAATTTTTATGTTTCAAAATTTTATAAAAAGAAGAAATTAAAACATAATATAAAAATTCAATTGTAATAATTCAAAATATATATTTTCAAAATAAAAATTTGTAAAAATATTCAAAAACGTAAACACATGACTAACAATAAAAGTTCTAAGAATAATAATTGAAAGTATAGCTGAATCATTTTCACATTTATCTTTCAAAGTTTAATATTTTTATCGCACTATCAATACGTTTATAAGCATCTAAACTATAAAATTATATGAAAATATAGAAATATTATATAGGTATAGCAATTAAAAAAGAGAAAAAAAAAACAATAAAATATATGTGGCGTTAAAATATGTTAAATTACAAAGGAATGACATTACTTTAACAGCGTAGAAGTATATCATACGTTAAAAGGAACTGTTCATTAAATATTACTTACAAACATTTTCGAAAACTTGAAATAAATAATTTAAAAAATGTAAAATAAAAATATGCTAAAATGATAGGTTCCAGGTTATGTTGTTGTTCCAGCATACATATAATTGTTCCAGCAGGTATATTTAGAAAAAAAAACAAGCCAAAAAGTTTTCATTCGATAAAAATCCATACCTGTTTGTGAAGTAAGAAAATTATTAGTTTACTTACATTTTCATAAATCAAATTAATTTTTTGTTAAATAATATATATAATGAAAGACAATAATGTCAAATTGGTGCAGACAATGACTATCTATACAAACAAATACACGTATTTATATACATATATATGCGTCGGTAAAATGATTTTCTCCGATCAATTAAGTACCAACTCAATTTCGCGCGCCATAATTTGAAATTGAGATTTTATTTATTTAAAAATATATTGCAATTATTTAAACAAATAATTACAAACAAAGAATTAAAATTTATAACAAAATTTTAGAAATGTATAATAGAAATAGTTTTTAATAATTATTTAATTATAAGTTGTTAAATTTTTATTATTTTATTTTAAAAAAAAATTCATGGTTCGTTTTGGTTTTAAAATAAAATAAGTTTAAATTCCGTAAAACTTTTTTTGTATTTCATATATATATGTACAAATTGAACAATTCAATACACAATAGTTAAAAGTATTTTTATAAAAATATGTATAAAAATAATTAGATAATTACAATAAATTTTTTGTATATACAAAAAAATTGATGTCAATTAACTATTTTCATATTATAATTTGTTTTAATTTTTTTTATATAATTAATTCTTAGAAAAGAATTTAATCATTTGAACTAAAAATTATATCAATTTCATTAGTTTATTATAAACTAAAAATTGCATCAATTTTATTAAATTTAATTAACTATAATAAAAATAATTACAAAACCAATGTAAACATATATCACAAATTTCAATTCAGTAAATAGTATGGAAAAATTTAGAAAATCTGTACAATAGTATAAACACTTTTTTAACAAAAAACGTTAATAAACATTTTTATAAGAAATATTACTGTTGGAAATAATTTATATATGTTTTTCTTTTGTAATCCGTTTCACATTTTAGTGATGTAAGTAGTTTATATTTTTTATTCATAATTGTATTTTTCATTTTACTTTTTCATTCTCAGTCATTTTTTTTTATCCATTTGTATAATTGAAATACAGATAGAAAAAATAATTTTTCTCTAATTTCAATTAGTAAAAAATAAAATTGTTACTCTAATGAAAATCATTGTATATTTGCCATTAAAAATAAGGCACTATTTTTCTTTTCAATGAAAAAGAATTTTACATGCCATTATAGGCTGGACCACCTCCACCTTCAGGCACAACCCAATTAATATTTTGACTTGGATCTTTGATATCACATGTTTTACAGTGAATACAATTTTGTGCATTAATTTGCAATCGTTGTCCATCGTCACTTTCAAGTGGAACAAATTCATAAACACCAGCGGGACAAAAACGACCTTCGGGTCCATCGAAAATTGTCAAATTTTTCATCACCGGTACCGTATCATCCATAAGCGTTAAATGTGGCGGTTGATCAGCCTCATGATTTGTTCCCGTTAGTGCAACAGATGACAATAAATCAAAACTAATTTTATTATCCGGTTTTGGATATTCAATTGGAGTTGATACTGCGGCAGGTTTAAGTTTTTTATGATCTGGACCACCATGTGAAAATGTCCATGGTTCCCTTCCACCTAATATCATTGATAATCCTGAATACAAAACTCCACCAAATAAACCAAGTGGTGAATGAAAACTCGGTCGGAAATTTCTCACTGCTTTCAATTCCTTGTAGATCCAACTATTTTTTATTTTTCCCTCATAATCATCGGGCGTAAGGCCTTTCGTTGGTGAATTTGTCGTCTCAGCTTTGATAATCGCATCGATTGCACTTTCAGCAGCGAGCATTCCACTTTTCATTGCATTGTGTGTACCTTTAATTTTTGGAACATTCAAAAATCCAGCAGTACATCCAATCAAACAACCACCTGGAAATTGAAGTTTTGGAATTGATTGAAAACCACCTTCAACGAGGGCTCGTGCTCCATAAGCCACTCTCTTTCCACCTTCCAATGTTGATTTAATTGATGGATGATGCTTAAATCTTTGGAACTCTCGAAAAGGACTTAAATAAGGATTCTGATAATCTAAACCCACAACAAAACCAATGGCAATCAATGGACTGTCTTCATTCAAATGATACAAAAACGATCCTCCGTATGTATTTTTATTCAAAGGCCATCCAACTGTATGTTCAACTAATCCTGGCGAATGTTTTGCAGGATCAATTTCCCAAATTTCCTTTAAACCAATACCATAAGTTTGTGGTTCACAATTTTCACGTAAATTAAATCGATTCATCAATTGTTTCGCCAAATGACCATGACATCCTTCAGCAAAAATTGTACATTTCGCATGAAGTTCCATTCCACGTTCAAAATTATCCTTTGGCGAACCATCCTTGGCAATTCCAACATCATTGGTGGCAATTCCTTTTACAGAACCATCCTCATGATAGAGAATTTCAGCAGCTGCATAACCTGGATAAAGTTCAACACCAGCAGCTTCGGCCTGTTCACCAAGCCAAGATACAACATGTCCTAAACGAACAACATAATTACCATGATTATACATTGGCATACCTTTCATTATTGGAATTGAAATTCGTCCATTTTCAGTGAGATATGCAAATTTATCCTTAGTAACAGGCGTTTTTAATGGTGCATTCAATTCTTGCCAATTTGGTATTAATTCATTAAGTGCAATTGGATCGATACAAGCGCCACTTAAAATATGACCACCAATTGTCGATGATTTCTCAACGAGTGTCACACGTAATTCCTTGCCACGTTCCTGAGCAAGTTTTCGCGCTTGTATCGCTGCTGACATCCCTCCTGGACCACCACCTACAATCAATATATCCGTCTCGTCCACATACCTTTCCATATTGACCTCTTTCCATCGTGGATCGTTTTCTCGTGGAACGACTGTATAATGAGTTGTTATTTTCGGGAAGGTCGTCGTACTATACGCTTTCTTCGATACATGGGAAACAAGTTTATACACCCTTGACATTCCTGACACTTTTTTTTAAATAAAATCTGAAAAGAAAACAAATCCAACGATTATTAAATTGAAGCCTTAAATTAAATAACAAAAAAAAATTAACAATTAAGAAGCTAACAATTAAGAAAAAAAAATTAAAAAACAGTTTTACAACAAGTGTACAAAATTGAAAAAAATATTAGGTTATGTTATTTCTTGTAACTAATTGGTCTTAATATAATATTTAATTAATTTTATTTCATTAAAAAAAATATATATTAACTTACCTAAATTTATAAGTAAAAAACAATAGAGGAACAAAATTTTATGTTCCCGTTTATTAATTTTGTTTCCATACACTTGAAAAGGTTATTTTTGTTCACTTTGCACACTCTTCTGAACAAAAAAATATATTTTTTTTCGTCTATATTCTCCGTTTATTGATTAATAACAGCTTTTTACTAGTTACAAAATTCTAAATTAACTTTGAATGAACTTTGAACAACTTAATAAGAAAGTGGGACTGATATATCTCAACATATACATAATTACAAACACATTTACATAATACTGTGTATATAAATGCAATCAGTAACGTATCAAATATTTTCCGACCCTAACATCAAAATATTTTTCCGTTATCAAATACTCCAAATAGGATTTAATTTCTATTTTCAAAACCAAAAATAAAAAACCCTAAATAAATAACCTTTAAAAACATTACGTAAATAAATCCTAATAATGTGTAATCAAAAGTTATTGTTACGTCCCTGAGAAACATTTAAATGTCAACTTTTTGGATTTCAAAATTTTATTTTATTTTAAAATTAAAGGTATTATTTATTATTTACTTTTTTAAGAATTTCCTTTATTATTTCTTTTTAGATATTTATTTATTATTTATATATCCTAATAAGTACTTAAAAATAAAATATCTAACCTTGAATTTTTTTTTTAATTAAATGATCATCAATTATAAACATCAATTTAAATTAAATTGCATGAAGATAAAGTTCTATAAATATATACATTTTTTTCAGGTTTAATCGAAAAACAAAGAAAAATATGAAAAAAAAAATATTGTGACCCTGAATTAATATAAAAATGTGTCTGGGCATATCTCGTTAGCAATTTTAAATTGTATCTTAACATCTCTAAAAGCGCACCCTTTATATATATATTTAAAATAAGGGTTGCGCCCTCATTTGAAAAACTGACAAGTGACCTTGGAATTAAGTGAAATCAGACGTAAAAATGTTTTTGAAAGGGACCAATTTTTCGTGAGAGAGACAAAGCAAATGGCCTCAAGTCCAAGGTTATTTTCTCAGAGAGTCAATGCCGGTTGATACAAGCGATCCGCGAAACTTCTTTCACTAGTTGTTTCACTCGAGCATCGTATAATATACAGTCAGATTTTTATCCAACAAAACACGTACGTGCTTCTCTTTATTTCCCCCATTTGATAATCCGCGCGTTTGGTGTCGATGCCGAATAATTCCGAGACAGTACGAATAATACCGAGGTCCCAAGCTCCAGAATGAGTATAGGAGAGAGTGAGTGAGTAGTGCGCCTCGGCGAGTATAATCGCGTAAAATGGATTTACAATTTGATCGTTGAGAATAAGTGAACATGGGAAGGTCTAAATTTCCCGGGAAACCGCCAAAGACGGTCACCAGGAAGCGTATCAAAGTTCTCGCATGGCCAGAAGCAACTCAAAGTGATTCCATAACTGTCGCCGAGAACATCTACTACGGACTTTCCCTGTTCAATGAGACGTTTGGTGACAACGAAAAGGTAATTCGCGCCTCTCTCTCTATATGTCGCGCATATACCGCGCAAATCATAATGAACGCATCTTGTCAATTTCCAGTGATTTGTTTGACAATTGTTTTCAGATAATTGTGTTGTGAGTGTATTATAAGCGTCCAAAAAAAAGACGCATAAGGTCGTGATATTTCATCGCGAAAAAAAAACACCTTCAATTCGATTCATGTCAAATGTTAAGATCCTTATGCGAAAGGCCTCCGGACGCCGATATGGAGAATTTTATTAAATAACAGTCCTCAATTTTCTTGTTGATGAGTTGCATTTACTTGTAAAAGTACCTTTCTAATTTCTGATGCAAAAAATTCTATTTCCAAATGTTCCTAACCTCTAATGCCTTTTTGGAGCGCTCGAAAAATTGATGCTCTTTTATCGTAACAAAGGTTTTTGTTGACCTTTTGTGTACTTTGTTAGGCCCCACTTTAAATTTTTGACTGTCTTCACTTATTATTGATGTATCCACTGCATTGCTCCGAAAAGTTTCCTCCTTTTTCTCAGTGATTTGTCGTTTTGAGTATGAGGTTGTTTTTGTTTTTTTTTTTCTCCTACAAAGCGGTAATTTTGAATTTCACTATAGTGGAAAGTTTATTTTCTATCTCTTCATTTAGATTTTAATTTTAATTCGAGTTTAGAAAAATTAATGTACGAATGAAAGAATAATATTAAAATCACTATTAAAATTAATACAATGTTTAAATAATTTTTCGAAAACGTTTATAAAATTTAACATTTGTTTATTTCTAAATTTGAATTATTTTTTTTTAGTATAATTTAATTTTAGTTTGCAATTGCAAAGTTAATTATAGATAAATTTTTTTGTTTTAATTGGGAAATTTGGCAGTATCATCTATGTAAATGGCACTTTACCAATTTGTAACTAATTGTTTTTACCAACTTTATTGAATTATTCGTTTAAAGACGACTCTAAAACAATTACGTGATTTTTGGGATTATGTCGTAACTCTTATTAATAACGAGAGTGTCATAAATAAATCACTCTAATTTGTAAACAAAGGAAAGAAAGTCGATATTTTGTTAGGGTTCACAAAACATAATCTCGTGAGTAAACGAAACCCTCCACTTTAGAAAATGAGGGATTAAAAAGTTTGAGTAAATATTCCATAGGATTTATGAATTTAATCCTTATTTACTGCCTCAATTAATTTGTTTTCCTTAAACTAATGTGATTCTTCACTTTATCACCTTCATTTTCAACAATTATTTGAAAAAGTTTTTTTTTTTAATTTGAAACAAATGTTATATTTTTTTTTTTTTGATAATTTTTATATTCTGTAAAAATGTAATTGAATTTTAGATGTGAAAATATAAAGCCTTTTTTTTTTTTAGGAACATCCACCGTTTCACGGTTTCAGCAGCAAAGAGGCTAAGCTATCTGCGTCATATATAAAAACGCAACAGCAAGATGGAAAAAATAGTGCGAAGGATTCATACGAAAATCTTCCGTGTTCAAGCAGTATTGATGAGGATATTGTAAAAAATACAAAAACTTCCTCTTCTGTTAAAGAAAATCATAAAATTGATGTGCAAGAGAATAAAGATCCTATTAAGAACGAGAAAATAGAAACAACATCATCAGTAATAGTCGATAAATCCGATGAAAAACCATCATCACCATCAACAAGAGCAAATAAAAGTGGAAAAGTTGAGAAATTTTCAAATTTTATCAAAACACCTGTTTTAAAATCGGTAAATAATATTCTCGATAGACATCATCGTACCAGGCAATTGAGAAACAGTACAGCTAAACGTTTATTGCAAAAAGCAAAATCAAACAATTCAAATGCACGTGGTACTCCGGTACAATCCACCACCGATAAATCTATCAATGTACGAAAATTTGTTTTACCAATACGCAGTGCTCATTCCTCACGTGTCATCAAACCAAATAAACGATTTATCGAGGAATTAGAGGAGAAATCAACAACTGAGCACAGTGAAAATGATGCAAAACAAACGAAGAAAGCAAAAAAAGGGAAAGAGGATGAAAATTCATTGTTAAAATCAAATGAAAAAGAATCGAGGACAAAATTAAAGAAGTTAATTAATCAAAATTCTCAATCCACTGGAAAATGTAATGAAAAATCAATTGCACAAACGACATCAAGGCAAAAAATTAATAAACTAAATTCAAATGATCAACCTCTTGCGTCCCAATATCAGAAACATAATATTATTAATAATAACAATAATGGTATTCCTGCAAAAGTTCTTCCCAATGATACAATCAATATTCCAAATTCAGAGTCTTCCAGAATTCAAACAAGATCAGGAGCTCTTAATAATGCGTCCACCAGTCAAAATCCTTCCCAAAAAGTACCTGAAAATCATGAAATATCAATGCCCACTGAAGAAACAATCGAAAGTAATAATAGTCTAAAAAATTCGAAAAATAGCCACGACACTAATGATATTTCAACGAATTGTAAAACAGATACAGATCATTTTGATTCGGAAAGTTCATTATCGGAAAGTGGCAGTGAACATGGCAATAATTCCGAGGATGAACAATCCGAATGGACAGGGACAAAATTAAGTGGAGGAAAAGTGATTTTAAGAAAGGCGAGATTAAAATTAGATAACAAAACTTTGGGAGGAACTGAAGGACCTTTTTCAATGGCAAATGTTCAATGTGTCTCTAATGGAAGTCCAAATACAGGTAATGTTTTTTTTTCTTTTTAATTTAATAACTTTTTATGAAGGAATCAATTTTTATTTAAAGAAATAATTATTTTCAGGACTCACAGGAACAGTGAAATGTGGCGTTTGTGGAGCAGTAAGATTCTATCGATTTGTGAAACAAGCTCGGAAATTTGGCATCTATAGTTGTGAGTCTTGTCGAAAATTCATTAGTAAAATGATAAAACGTCAAGCTTGCGCTAAATCGACAAACAATACACTAACATGCCTTCAATGTCACAAGGGCGATGGATTGTGTTTAGTTCCACCTGTTGTAAGAAGTCAACAATGGAATCTTATGAGATGTGTTTATAAAGCACGATGTCCAGCGTGTTGGTTAAAAATGTGTCTCAAATGTTATAATATACCAGCAGTATTGCGTACAGGTTTAAATGCAATGTTACCACCATTAATGAGAGATCCACTCACAATATCATTGCCATTGTGTCTTGACGATAATGATTTACAAAATCAAAAATTAATTGGTTGCAATATGGGTTGGCCAAATGAGGATTGTTTGGAAAAGAATTTATTTAAATCGGCAATGAATTGGAATAATATGGAAATTGGACAAAAATCTAATTATCATAGTGGTGGTGCTGGTAGTCTTGGTGGTTTTTTAACAAAGAAAACAGATAAATTTGATTATCCCGCATCAGTGTCGCCAATAAAGAAACGTAAAAAGGAAAATCGAATAAAAGTACGTAAGAAAATGAAAAATCCTTCGGTTACACCGACGACGTTTAATAAAAGTCCAACGGCAGTATCAACGAGACAAAGGGTAGAATTAAAAGGACCAAGAGTGAAGCATGTGTGTCGAAGTGCTAGTGTTGCACTTGGTCAGCCAATTGCAACTTTTCCATCACCTGATTGCAAAGATGATGTTGAAGTCAATAAAATTACTCCAAAAGCACAAAAAGAAGGTGAAAAATCCGACAAAAAAGAAGAAGTTACCAGAGAAAAGGAGTCTCATAAATCTAATCAAGAGGGTCTTATTTGCAATATTAATTCCATTCCTCAATTACAACCGAAGAGAGGCAAAAATCAAAATAATTTGGCGGTGAATTTTTCCGTGGTACGTCTTTTTTTAATTCAATTTTTTGGACACTGAAAAATTTTACTTATTTAATTGAAATATTTTTTCGATATTATAATTGAAAATTAAATTTCAGGAACGATCTTTACCGAAACAGATTGTCGAAACACTTCATACTGTCTCTATTGATTTTTGGGAACAATATGATCCAGCTCAAGTTGGAGCTAAAGGATTTGCACTCATTGGCTCTGAATTATTTCACATTCCTGCCATTTGTTTTTTGTGCGGAAGTGCTGGAAGAGAACCGGTAAGAATCTTTTATAATTATATTATTAAATTTAAAAAAGAAAATTTAATTTAGAAAAATTATTTTAAAATCCTTTTAAGGAAACGATTTTTTAAAAAAGAAAATTTATATTATCAAAATAAGTATGTACCTGAAGTTATGAACATTCAAATGAACGAAAAATTTGTTTACCACTTTTTTAATTTCAAATTTTATTATAAAATATTGCTTTCTGTATTTAATAATAAATTCATTTGAACGTTTAAAACTTCAAGGTACAAAAATAATTCACATTTTCCTGTACTAATAATTTAATCAATTTTCGTTTTGCCTATACAAAATTTCAAAAATTAACAAAACAAAAAATAACTCATTTTATAAAAATTAATAAAGAATCGTTTATTTTTTAAATAATTTAATTTAAATAAAAATTAATTACAACGGATTTTTAATCAAAAAAATTGCCAATAATTTTATATAAAAGTAAACACTTTAAGCTTGATTATAATTTATCCATTTATTTACAATACATTTTTAATTACTGAAAAAATTGTATTGAATTTTTATTTTAAAAATATTTTTGGTATTCATTAAAAAATATACTAGTTTTTTAAATTTAAAATTGATTTAAAATTATTCAAATATTTTCTATTCTATTTATTATTTATTTAATAATAATAATAATTTGTAATTATTTTATTAATAATTTTATTGTATTTATTAAACAAAATTGTATTAATTAATTAATTAACGTTTTACGTTCGAGAATTATCTGGGAGTCTGTTAAAAAAAATAATAACTATTTCATTATCTAAAATTGCATTAATTTTTGCAGCTTATCCATTGTCAGTGTTGTTGCGAGCCATACCATATATTTTGCTTGGAACCAAGCGAATGGAACGCTTGTATTCAACCAAATTGGTGTTGTCCACGTTGTACAGTATGTCAGACCTGTCAACTTCGTTCTGGAACAAAATTATCCTGTATTCGTTGTCGACAATCCTTTCATTATTCATGTTTTCCAAAATCTGGTGTCAGCGCAAGATTATACAGTCCTGACAGACCGTACGTATGTCAAAGTTGTATTAAATGCAAAAGCTGTGGAAGTGAAGGGGTCAATGTTTACGTGGGAAATCTTCCATTATGCTCCATGTGCTTCAAGCTACGTCAACGAGGAAATTATTGTCCTCTTTGTCAAAGATGCTACAACGAAAATGATTTTGACACCAAGGTAAAGTTTCACTTCTCTTAAAATTATTATTTAAAAAAAAAAAAAAATTATTAATTATTAAATTTCTCTCTTCAGATGATGGAATGTAATGAATGCTCCTGTTGGGTTCACGCACATTGCGAAGGTCTTTCAGATGAACGCTATCAAATACTCAGTTATTTGCCTGACACCATTGAATTCACCTGTCGTCAATGCTCGTCAAATCCAAATTCCATTTGGCGTAATGCAATTGAAGCTGAACTCAAAACAGGATTTATAGCCGTTGTAAAAGCGTTGAGCAAAAATCGAAAAACATGCGCCGCACTTCAATGGAGTCCAAGAAAAGAATGTCTCTGTCGACCATTGACAACAATCAGGAAACTTGATTTTGACGAAAAATTCGAATCAACAAATAAAAATGGTACAATAAATGAAGATATTGATGATTCTATGACTGATAAATTAACGAGTGAATCAAATTGTAATTTCAAAGGTGAGTTAAATCGATTTAACTTTGATTTAGACGAGCAACCAATTGACGTTCCTAGACGTGGTTTACGAAGATTGAGACAAAAAATTCACACCAAGGATTGTAGTGGAAAAATGAAAAACCACAGTGAAATAAATTCAAAGGAAAGTACCGATCAAGAGAATTCAAGTGATTGTAATTGTTCGGAACAACAAATTATAACGAGACCATCGCCAACATTATTGTCGGTGAAGCAAAAAGTTAATGGCAACGAATATGGTTCACTTGCACAATTTCACTGTGATATGGAACATGTTATTAATCGTATAGGTGCTCCTGATTTATTAGAGGCTTATCACAATATTCTAAAGGAAATATTCCCCTGGTTTGATACTCTCAGTTCGTCATTGGAGATAAATCTCTTTTCAACACCTTCCAAGGAGAATCAAAATGGTTTTGATTCACCGGGAATGAAATTGGACAATAGTATTTTAGACGCATGGAAAGAAGAAATTTTAAGATCACCAAAATCAGTTACAGCAAAAACGGGAAATGTTTACAGCAATATAAATGTTGAAGATGCTAGATCTTGTTCTCTTTGTAAAGGTCTTGGCGATGGTCAAGAATTAAAAGAAGGTCGTCTTTTATATTGTGGACAAAATGAATGGGTTCATTCGAATTGTGCTCTTTGGTCTAATGAAGTTTTTGAAGAAATTGATGGTTCATTGCAAAATGTTCACAGTACAATATCGCGAGGACGTTTAATTCGTTGCAGCGAATGTGGAAAAAAAGGAGCGAGTATTGGTTGTTGTTCGAGAAATTGTAATAATACTTTTCATTATTCTTGTGCGAGGAATATGAATATGTTATTTAATGATGATAAAACGGTGTTTTGCTCTCTACACGCGGACGATTGTTCGAGTAAGAAGATTCAAAATGAAAATGATTTTTGTCTAAAGAGGCCCGTTTATGTGGAATTGGATCGAAAGAAAAAGAAATTCGCTGAACCTGATAAAGTCAAGGTGATGATTGGCTCATTGACTGTTGATTGTTTAGGAACAATATCTCCGGAATTTTCGGATGGTATTGAAAAAATCATACCCAGTGGATATAAATGTTCGAGACTTTATTGGTCAACGGTGAACCCTTTGAAAATTGTCAGGTACTATATTAGGACTTATGTTCAAGTATATGTACCAGAAGTATCCACCGATTTGGAAAATAATGTAACAATCGATCATTCGAAGGAACAACAAATTGAGGAGGAGTTAAGAATTCAGAAAATGGAATTTTTAGCCGTTAAACAAACACTCGATGCTCTTATTGATACAGTATGCAATAAAGAAGTCGATGAAAATCTTGCCGAGCAAAATAATACCGATCTTCTACCTCCCGAATTAAAGGAAGCTATTTTTGAGGATCTACCACACGATCTGTTGGATGGTATCTCTATGCAAGACATTTTTCCAAAAATGAGTATCGAAGATTTTCTAGTCATGGATTTAAAAAACGACGCGTTTTCAACTGAATTGTTGAAAGATGAAATGCTTCCAACAGAGGTTGAGGAATTGAAACTTTCTGAGAATAAGGCTTCCAAAACGGATTCAATTTTAGATTCTAACTCACAAAGTGACAGTTGGTTGGAGGCGAAAAATTCTGATCTAATGGACGATATATTTGATCCAAAGAATCAAAAACAAGGAAAAGAGATAAGACGTTCAAAATCAGAAGCAACGGGAAATGTCATTGTCAACGGTCAGAGATGTCAACGTTCTTGTTCTTTAACTTGGAGTTGTAAACTAGACAGTACTTACAATCCAACAATGAAAAGAAGAAAAGTGCCGAGAAATTCTAATTCAGTCAAATCCAATGATGCAATTATGGAACAACAAGACGATCGGAAATCAATGTTTCACGATTTGCGAATTCCTGACAGCATCATGGTGACTGTTGGTCGAACGAGTACCTCGAATATCATTTCAGAATCGGTAAGAGAACTCAAATATTGTGTTGATGATGCCAGTAGTATCAATTGCAGACTCTTGCCATCAAAGGACGAAACGAAAGATCATAAAAATCTCCTATGGCACTCGAGACAACAGCCGAGGATAGTGCAAGTTGATGGTCCAGCTGATGCAAGCAGTGCCAGCGAATGCAGCTCTCCCGAGTACAATCTTGAAGAGAGAATCCTTCCAAATTGCCCCTCAATGCCCCAACTTGACGGAGCCAATGATGACACATCACAGGACAACAAATTGGAAGCAAAAGAAATCAAAATCCAATCAGACGATGCAAAAGACATTCTGAAATCGAGATTACAAAGGATTTTCGAATTCAGTGAGATAGAATCAAGGAAAAAACTCACTGAGCAAGAAATCTCTAAAAATGCATTTTCTCTGAAAATCCCTCAACTCGACGGTGCTGATGATATTTCCAGTGATGATGAATGCATAAATTCGCAAATTAATCACGAGATCAATCAATCAATTCCAGAAGTGATTACAGAAGAACTCGGTGATCAACCAGTCAAATGTAAACGTTGCCAATGCACTTATCGAACTCTAGACAGTTACAATCGTCATTTGACAAATTGTGACATTATGACAACAAGTGACAGCGATTCAGAAACAATGGATAATAAATTAGCATCACCGGATTCAACATTTTCCATGTCACCGCAATTTGCATCAATGTCACCATCCGAGGGTCATACACTTCTATCCGAATATCCCGATATGCAAGTGACATCACCATTGGAAGCATCAGTTCCTTCACCTCATCCCAATATGCAAATTGAACCAATTGCACAGGCAATTATCACTCCACAAATGCATACTCACGCAACTGTGGAAACTGTTCATCAAACAGTATTAACTTCAAATGACATGATTGTACAAACTCAATATACAAGAACAACAACAACACTTCCAAATTCTTCAGTTGTACCATCAGAGAACGGTGTTCAAATCACCGAAATTCCAAGTTCAGATTCAAATGATTTAAATCCCATGAATCCTTCGACGGAAACAATAACCAATTTTTCCCCACCAATTCCCACTCAACCATCAGTGAAGGCTCCAAAGGTAAAATCACCTAGAGCTCCAAAACCAAGAACTAAAACTGTTCGGGCACCAGTTGTACGAAATTCTGGACAATCGTCAATTAGATGTCAAGCGATGCAAAATAATCCACAAATGATACAATTGCAACAATCACAAAGGCAGGCGGCAACTGCACCAACAGTTATTTTACAACAGGTCGCACCTCAAAGTCTCATGTCAGCATACGTTGAAACTTTACAACAACAATCGGGACAAAATTTGCAATACATTGCCGCAATTGGTGGTCAACATGAAGCGGCATTTAAACCTCAATTTATCGCCACTAATCAATTGGTTCCTGGTTCGTACATACAGACAACGCCTGATAATTTATTAGCTCTACAGAATGGTGGTAAGTAATTTTTATCACAATGATAAATAATGATAATGATAATAATAAATTCACATTTCTAGGTATTTCGGTGCTTCCAAGTGTCCAATTGGCTCAACCTCAACCAACAGTTTTGGGAACAATTATCCAACAGCAGCCAAGTGCAATTCAATGCGGAGTAATATCCTCGGAGCAATTGGTTCTAAGTTCAACTCCCACTTTGGAAATGTTCACCGATTCCACTGGAAGTATGTTTGTATCAAGCCAACCAATGTATTATGGCTTGGAAACAATTGTCAGCAACACGGTGATGTCATCAAGTCAATTTGTCGCCGGTACAGTACCTCAAGTTTTAGCCAGCAGTTATCAAACGACAACACAAGTATTTCAAGCTTCAAAACTCATGGAGCCAATTGTTGACGTTCAAGCAGTGTCAGCAATGCCAAATGTCCCAACAGTGCAAGCAGTTCAAGGCGTTCCTGGAATGGCTGGCAGTTATGTTGTCGTCAATCAACCAGCTTCTTTAACAGACACAATTTCAACACCTCAATTGAGCGTATCAACGAATCCCGAACCTAATTACACACCCGTTGCGTGTACAAATCTTTCATCAACAATAACCCCAACACAATCTATCGAATCAGTAAGAACTTCAGTTGGACCAATTCTAGAATCATCAGTCAGACCAATTCACAATCTTGAAACAACATCCTCCATTAGACCTATTCTCGATGAATCAATTCAAAATTTCGAAACATCAATTGTCGATATAAATAATTCATTAAAGCAAATGCCAACAATTCCAAGAGTAGCGGTTCGACCAAATCCAATGAATCCATCAGAAAATGATCCATGGAAAATTACTGAACCAATTCTTGCCAATGAGCAACCAATTAACAACAGTATTCGGCCTTATTTTGATTCAAAACACGTGTCACAAAACACAAGCATGATTAAATCGAGCATATCAAGCAAGATTCCTCCCTTGCATAATCATTGCACTCATAGAAATATTGTAAATAAATGTAATGATGTAAATAGTGTGCATAGTAACTACAGTAGCTCGCTAACAAATAACAATAGTAATTGTAATAATTTAACATTAAATAATAGTCCAGTTATCTCAAACCCCAGTGCACAGAATAAAATAATGACATTTAATACCCGACCAATGAACAGGGTTCTACCGATGCAAGCTGTCACGCCTAAATTAGAATCCATAAAACAAAACCAAAAGTCTGATATTGTGGAAGAGCCTACAAAACCCGAAATCAAATCAATTGAGACTGAAAAAATCGATTTACCACCCAAGGAAATTTCTCCGATTATTAAACCTGAGATTAAATTAAAAATCAATAATTTGGAAATGATCGTCGATGCAACTGGTGAAAATTTCAAATTACTGGAAGAATTCGAAGAGAATGATAAACAAATATTCAAAGAAAATTTCAGGGAAAATCTCAAAGAAAACAATATAATCAGTCTAAAAGAGAATGTCAAGAAAAATATCAACGAGAATATCAAGGAAACATTCACTGACAATATCAAGGAAAGTCTTAAAGAGAACGTCAAAGAATTTGCTAATGATACACTAATAAAAGAAAATCTAAATGAAAATCTAAAAGAAACGATAAAAGAAAACACAAGAGAAACTATTAAAGAAATTAAGGATAACGTACGAGAGAGTATAAAAGAAATAAAAGAATACGTAAGGGAAAATATCAAAGAAATGAAAGGCACTATTAAAGAAATAGCAAAAGTAAATATGAAAGAAATAGCAAAGGAAAATATAAGGGAAAATATAAAAGAAAATGTAAAAATCAAGGAGAATATTAAGCGTGAAAAAGATAATGTTAAAGAGAAAAAGGACAAAAATGAAAGTATGAAAGAAAATTTAAAAAATAAATCCGATATTGAGCCCAAAGAAAAATCACCATCATCATTGAAAATTGTACTACAAAAACAATTACAAGATGGTTCTTACAAAATTACACACAATTTAACAACCACAAATCAGAAAAAATCGATTCCACAACCACAAAATCAGTTACAACTTTTACCAATCAAAACATTTACATTAAAAACAAATGCCCTTAGCGAAAAAACTGTATCAACAAATAATAATCTAAATTTCGTGAAAATTAAATCACCACCAATAGCCGTGAAAAAACCGAGACTTGCGTCAAAAAATGCAGTGAAAAACTCAAAACAACAACCACCACCACCAACAATTGTACAGCAAAAGAAAAAATTAACAGTACCAAGTCTTATGTATGAAATTAAGTCACAAGATGGTTTTACACATACAGCATCATCGATGAGTGAAGTTTGGGAAACTGTATTTCAAGCTGTTCAAAATGCACGTAAAGCTCATAATTTACCGCCATTACCTCATAATCCATTGACGGAAAATCTTGGATTGGAAAATAATGCAACTGTCTATTTGGTGGAACAATTGCCCGGTGTTAATAGATGCACAAAATATAAACCAAAATTCCATAATTTAACACCACCAAAGCCAGGTGAAGGTGATGGGGATTTATTGACGGAATGTATTAATGGAGCTGCACGCGCTGAACCATTCAAGGAGAGAAAAGTTCACGATGTCTTTAGTTGGCTTGCTTCGAGGCATCGACAACAACCAAAGCTGATTGCAATCACAGAAAATGAATCCAGGTATTTATATCTACAATATTCTAAAACTTTTTCTTAATAATTTCAACTTCAACTCTTCCGATAATTCAATTATTTTTTTTTTTAAATATTTTTCGAAAATTCAATTATCTGAAAAATTAAAAGTTATTTTTGAAAACGTCATAAAATTAAAAAATAGTTTTATTTTACAAAAAGATATATATTTTCCTTTATTAAATAATTTTTTTTTACATTTATATTAATTATAAACAATTTTGTCTTTTTTTGATGAAGTTTTTTAACAAACAAACAAAAAATAATACAACTGAAAGTATATTTAAATATAAAAAACTTAATAAGAAAAAATTTAAGTGAAATAAATTTCTATTATATTGAATTATAGAAATAGTGTAAATAATTTAAATCAATGACGGTGCATGGTTTCATATCTGCTGATCGATTATTCAATAGATTTTTTGCTGGTTCGAAAAATTTTTCCGAATAACGTTTTGTTGCTGGTATGCATAAATATTTTTTTGCCATACATGCCAATTTTGGAAATTTCACCGCCTTTTGTTTCCACCACATCAAAAGATCACTATTATTACATTGTTTTGACATCAGATAATTGAAAATTTCATCATTTTTTCCATCTGCAAAATAAATTATTTAGATATTAAATTTTTTTTTCCATAATATTATAAATTTAGTATATTTTAAATTTAATTATTTACCATCTTCTTGATTTTCCAGCCACTGATGAAAATGTATTTTCCTCCTTTTTTCCGGTGGTTCATTATCGGCCAATGGATCTTTCTCTTCTTCCTCTATCACAGAATCCATTTGATTTAATTCAGTTTGCAATTGTTGCATAAATTGAACACGCTCAAGATCAGAGAGCATTTTCATTTTTCTCACCGATGACCATAAAAATGTTGCAACTTTGTGTCGATAATTTATTGGATATAATGATTTTAATATCTCAATTGTACGTGCTTTCATTATTTTAATTGTCACATTGTCATTGGCTCTTTCAGCGCAGAAATTCATTATTTTTCTATACCACAATAAAACTAAATGAATATTTGGTTTATGATCATCAATCAAATCTTTGATAACTTCATTGAATAATTGTAAAAATTTCACTAAATCATCGGCAATTGCTTTATTAAATTTGACAAACCAATCTTCTGTTCCTTTCACTAATTTAACAATTTGATTATAATTTTTAACAATAATATTAAGTGACTGAAGATGTTCTTGCCAGGTTTCATTTTTGTGAAGTGGCAATTGTTGCTTTAAACGTAATGATAAACCTGATTGATTCATAAATTTTACAAAATTACTTAAACCTGATAGTATTTGATAAATTTCTGATGTTTCTGTTCTTGTGAATTCACTATAAAGAACATTATTGATGATGTTATTTAGAGAATTTTCAACACATGGAATATGATTAGGGATTATTGAATTTGATTGTTCCTCCATTTTTTGTTCGGATACAATTGTAATTAATTTAATTGCATTTAATGGAGCACCAAGACGAATGAATTTTTGTATAATTTCATTTAAAATTTCATGATATTTCTTTTTATTTTCTGAATTGAATACGGTGAACATTAAACTGCTATTAAATTCCCATTTCTCGTCAATATGATGAAAAACAACATTTGTATATGAATGACCGGTACAATTATCAATCCACGTGTTCAAAGAAATAGCACCCTCTTCTTTTTGAATATTTGGCAAAATTGATGAAAATAATTCTTGCCTCGCTATATGAACTTCCTGTGATATTTGTATAAATAATGTATTTTGATCAGGCATTAAATCTTCAATTCTCGTTGGTCCTAATTTTGCACCGATATTAATTAAATTTTGTGCCAATTTCTCAAAACCAACACCTTTAAGTACGGTTAATGGTTGTAAATCCATTGCACAAAAATCGACACACGCTTTTAATATAATTGAAAGACAATGTTTATTTGGATTTGTTGTTACAATATTTTTCTTTATACACGAGTGTCGTAATAATTGTGACGTACCCGTTGTTGTACCAACGTATTTTTGAATAAATTCACAAATTTTACATTGTACATATTCTGTTTTTGCACCGGTATCTGCTTCAACAATTATTTGAAATTTTTTCCATGCCTCACTTCTACCGCCTGATTTTTGTTCTAATATATAAATACCGGCGTCAATTTTTTTCTTAACTTCTTCGATTTTTTTTACTTTTATATATTTACGTGCTGCACGTAATTTTTCCAAACTTTCATGATCATGTTCCTCGAGTTCAATCTTTTGAAATACTTCTTCTGTTTTTATTGTTTCTTTATTGTTGTCAGTTAATATCTTTAAAATTTTCTCATCAATTTCATTGTCGTCTTCTTCATCTGATGGCAATTCTTCCTTGATATCAACCGCTTCGTAATTAGTTATAAATGATGCCATAGTAAATTTATCTATATCGCAAAATAATTGAAAAATCATTAGGATTAATTACGATAAATTAATCGATTAATATTTATTTATCATAGAAAATTTATATTCTATTTTAATTTCAAAATATTCTCTCAAAAAAGAATATGAAATTAAAATTTGCAAAATAAGCTTTAATTTTATTGATATTATTTTTGGCATACGTACTTTATTGCAAATTGTGTAAATATCCTCGTTCTTCTCGTGAATCAATATATTTATGTTGTTATATTCATTTATTAAAATAATCTTCTTCGAATTATTGATAAATTAAATAAATTCAATGTTGACTGATTCTATATGATAATTTTATATAAATGAAGAACAATGAATATTTTGATCGACGCCATATGTACAACGTAAAATCACTGAAATGACGCCTTGTTCACTATATCCGAATATTGTCCGATATAAAAGAATTAGAACCGAAGTGATCCGAAAGAGACCGAATGGACAGACTTTCGCCCGAACTTACAACAGCATTAAGGGTATTCTATAACTGACAAGAATGTAAAAAGTTCAAGTTCAATCTACAATGAATCAACACACAAGGTCATATTGAATTTTTAGAAAATTTATTTTCTATGTAAAAAAAAAATATTTAAATATATATTTAAATATATATTTAAATATATATGTAAAATTTATAATCATTTATAATTTTATTTATTTGAATTTAATTTATTTTAAGCCCAGCTGAAGAAAAAATTAATTAATTGTAGAATTTTTTTTACATAAATTATTTTATTTGCAGAAGAGCAGCTAGCACAAATCTGCCAATGGCGATGAGATTCAGAATTCTTAAGGAAACATCAAAGGAATCAGTTGGCGTTTATCATTCACACATTCATGGCAGAGGACTCTTTTGTTTACGGGACATTGAAGCTGGAGAAATGGTCATTGAGTATGCCGGAGAAGTAAGTTATAAAAATTAATTTCAAAAATTAACTTTCCTTTCTACAATGAGTTGTAAATTGTAATAAAATAAATCATTTAATATTATTATATAATACAAAACAAATCGAAGTAATTATTTAAATTATAATCCCATTAAATATCAATTGAAAATAATTATTATTTTCTTACTTTAATAGGTAATTCGAGCTTCCCTAACGGACAAGCGTGAAAAATATTACGACAGCAAAAACATTGGATGCTACATGTTTAAAATAGATGATCATCTCGTTGTTGATGCTACTATGAAAGGAAATGCAGCAAGGTTTATTAATCATTCGTGCGAGGTAATAATCTTTTTTAAATCACACACTCAACATTTATTAGGTGTTTTTTTTTTCCTCATGAATCAATTATATATCTTTCATTCATTTTATTTATTGAATGAAACATCTGAATATATATTGACGTTGATTTTTGTTTTCATTAAGTAAAATTAATTAATACTTTTGATCTCTAATTTTCTCAATGAACTTCTGATTCTAATTACACAGTTTTTTTTTTCATTCAATCTTTTTTTTCCTCATTATTCACGATTTGTTTCTATTGAGTAAAAGTAATTATTATTATTTTTTTGTACATATTTGTAATTCTGTTTTTATTTTTATAGAACTAATTTTTCATTTTTCTTGACACTTCTTTAACAAGTAATGATTTATTTCAGCCGAATTGTTATTCACGAGTGGTTGACATCCTAGGTAAGAAACACATTTTAATTTTTGCTCTACGCCGCATCGTTCAAGGAGAAGAGCTGACGTACGACTACAAATTTCCATTCGAGGATATTAAAATACCGTGTACCTGCGGCTCTCGCAGATGTCGTAAATACCTCAATTGAGACTGCGTAAAAATTTTTTTTTTTTTAGTCTAAGAACGCGATTGGGCACAAAAAAAAGAAGCAATGAAATATGCTGACATTGAGTGCGTTTTTGAGACAGAATTTCAGTTATTATATTAAATCGTTATTAATTTAATCGGCGATGATATATTTTCAGAGATGACAGCTTTTTTATTACTAAAAAAAAGGCATAAGGGGATTAAATGGGAGGGAGAGAGAGAGAAATGAAATATCTATAGATTTATAGTTACATAGAAGGCCAGATATACATATTTACGTTGAAAAAGCATTGTTGTAATGTTACCATATAATTTTTTGGTTAACATAACTATGCTTTATGGTTGATTTAAGGAGAATACTTATATATATATATAGCAATAACCCTATTACAGATTTTCTGCTTTCGCTCTAGAAACAATGTGCAAATCGCTAAACTTAGTTTCATTACGAATTTATAAAAATCTCGTTGCACTTTTGTCCCCCCCCCCCCCACTAGCGAGGCTTTCTCTACAAAATATATTATTAGCACTTTATTCCAAGTGAAAGAAAATTATGTTAATTATTCGAAATTTAGTTTGTTTTCGTTTATTTTTTTATTTACGTGAATTAAAAGTTATTAATATTAAAAATTAATTAATCGAATAAGCAAAATTTAATTGACATTTATTAATATTATTAAGAAATGTTTTGAGTTTAATGTGAAAGTACTATAAAAATTCAAACTTGTTTTATTATAAACAAGTTATTATAGTCTATTTTTTTTTAATTGCATAAAATCAATTTATGCAGATTTTTCATTAATTTCTAAGTTTTAATTTATTTTTATAATTTTCATTATAGTTATTTTTATTTTATTATTTATTATTTTATATTATTATTATTTTCGCCGGTATTTTATTCAATGAAATCGAAAAATACCACAAAAATATTATTAGTCTTCCAAAAGAATAGAAATTTCTTTTATTTTTTATATCTATTTTTTTAGAACTAAAGCAATGCAATTGTATTAGTTTGAAAATTATTTTTTTTTTAATTTCTTTTTATAAAAGATCAAGATTGACTTTATTTTACATATTAAGAAACATTTTTTTCGTTTGTTTTTTGACCAAAAAAAAGACAAGAAAAAAATAATTCTGTTTTTTTTGAGTAATTATTTTTAAAAAAAAAATACTTTTGAAAGCCGAAGATTAAATAAATATTGAGATTTATTTTATGAAGATATATAATATCTATATTTTTTTTTTTTAGAAATATATTCATTAAATAAAAAAAAGTGATTTTTTTCAAGATTTAAAATCAGGAAAAAAGAATTTGTAATTTGGAATAAAGTGCTGGAAAATTACTTTTATAGAACACTCTGTGTATTGCTTTAGGCTGAATTATCAAACTCTCTTTGTAAAATATTATGTAATTGTTAGAGTGTAGGGATTGTCTCGATATAAATTAGTACAGTAATGAATTTTTAAACATTAAAACTACCTAGAATGATATAAATATAAAAAAATATATATATATGTTCTAATGAGATGAGGATTGAGAGAATGAAAGGCATGAGAGGAAAAATAAGCTACTTTGGCAGATATTGATGAAAAAAAAGTCAAATATTGTGACATTATCAATGGATAAAAGAAAGTCAAAATAGCGAGCTTTATAATTATCTCGCGATATAGGACTTTCGATTTCCATTTATGTGCGTTAGATATCGCATGCAATATTGCACGCGTTACGCAAAACAATTATTTCATGTGGAACTTGGTGTGAATCGCATAAAGCGTGGATTTTAATACTTTTATTATTATAATTATTATTATTATTACAAATTTCTAAACTCTATTCTCATGTTACGTCACAGTGCTTCCACTCTGATGAAAGCATTCATGCTTACTTCTTTATTCCATTAATTTTCAATGATAACGTGATTCGTTTCCTTTTATTTTTTAATTAATTAAGCAATTTATTTTTTTAAATTAAATTATTTTTTACTGCTAATTGTCGCGAAAGCTTTAGAAACTAGATTGTCACGCCATTCAATATTTTTCTATAATAATATATATTTTTTACTGCAAAATATTGTAAGAACACTTTAAGCTGTGCAAAAAAAAGGGCGATAAAATCGCAAAAAAAAAAAAATTAATTAACTTCAAAGAACGAATATAAAAATTGAAGTTTTTTGTATTACGAACGAGAAAGAATTTGAATTTGTTTTTATTTTTTACACGCAATTTCAAAAAAAAATTTTTTTTTGAGAAATATTGTTATTTTTCTCGTTTGTATTCAAGATGAAATGATGCGCGAAATAAAGGGAGAGAAGAAAAAAAATTTTTTTGATTGATTATTAAAATTAATATTAATGTCCGTTTGAAATCTTCCTGGTGATAAGAAATCAAAGAAAAAAAAAAGTCTTTTAGAATAGTAAAAAGAAAAAAAAAAGTGAGGATATTGACGATTTATCGTGAATAACGGTACTGAATCTGTGAGATGAAATTTTGCCTTAAATTTTTTAATTCTATCTATACGTTTTAATCCAGTGATAAGCTTAATAAGGAAACGTGTCGAAGACTTTTTTAGCTCCTCAACTCGTTAATGAAAAAAAAAAATTGTCTTTCTAATTATTTATAATAAAAAAAAAAAAATAATAATCCATAGGATATACAATATAAATAAGGAAACGAAAGTATTTCGAATGACACAATTTATCAATTTCTGCCGAGGTAGTCCTCCCGTTAATCTGGTGCTCCCTGGACACCGTCAAGTGCACTTTTCAAATGAAAAATAAAAAAAAAAAAATAATAATAAAAATTAAAAAAAAAGAAATAATAACAATGGCCTAGATAATAAGAGATAGTAGATCAATGCAGAAGTGTTTGATAATAATTAATAGGGAAGGTTATTTCGATAGTAGAAATGAAGATTGTCGATTGCGATTTATTTAACGGAGTAATATAAAAAAAAAAATTGATTGAAATGATGGCGGGAACGTACGCCATTATTATTTTTTGTTTGTTTAATCGGCCTGGTTTGGTACAAATTGTGTATGATGAGTTGTAAAAAGTAAATGAGAGAGGAAAAAAACAGAAAAAAAAAAATTGTAAACTAGTTCTGGTCACGAGAAATTGCCATTTTTTTAGGTATTTTGATTCTTTTCTTTTTTAAATGTATAATTAATTCTAATCGATGATTATATTCTATAACGTGCAGATGAATTATTGTTAATATAATGATAATTAATATTATAATTTGTAAAAAAAAAAAATGATATGAATTAAGGAAGGTAATTACTTGAATATATAAATAGAAATGTTAGATATTTTATTGATATTTATTGATTACAGTCGAATTTTGAGATAGGTGAAAAAATATTTTTTTTTTTTATTATTAATATTATATAAATGGAGGCGATATAAAAAAAAACCCTTTGCGCAAATGTCAATCAGCGAGTATTTTTTTATTTTATTTTATTTTATTTTTTTTGCTTAAGGGAAGCGTATTTCACAGAAATTACTTTTTAATTTGAGCATTTATTTTTTTTATATCAAAGAACTGTAAGTTGTTAAAGGGAAACAAGTTCACGAGCCAGTGAGTACAAGAGCTAATTATATACATGAATATTTTCTGTAAGGCACGCGTCCCTTTGTAGTAGGTTTTTTTTTTTATTTATAATTTGAAGAGGAGCGTACGTGTACTAGCGATTTCGAGATAGAGTACAGAATTGCTTTATAATTCCTTGCTTAACGAATATTTTTCTTGTTGAGTCTTAAGTATCTCCTGAATCTCTCATTGCTACACTTTAGTAGAGTGAGAATTTTCTAGTATTGCACTACAGCCCACACGACTATTATTATTAATTAAAACTACGCATAGATAATTAGTAATCATTGCTCGCTCGTGTACACGTCGGTAATTTTTTTTTTTTACACGCTCGTATTATTTTCTTCTTTTCTGTCTTGTTTTCTATTCTAGTTTTTCTTTCTTTTTGTTCTTTTTTCTATTTTCTTTTTAACGCGACCTGAACTTTCTTTATAATTATCCTACTGCTAAATAGGGATTTTTTTGTACAATAATTTTAACAGCGAACAAATTTCTAATTCCCTCGAAAGGGAAATATTCTTCTCCGTAGTTTATAGATTTATTATTATTATTATTATTATATATATATATATATACTTTAGATGAAGAATCGCTTTTTAAGAAACGCAATCGTAGTCAGTTTTCAAATTAATTATCAAAATCTTCTGTCAGCATTGAAAAATTCAAAGTATATAGATTTATATTCGAGATGTATAAGAGTGAATAGGAATGAATAATGAGAGAGTAATTTAAAAAAAAAAAAAAGATGATAAAGAGGGAGAAACGACTTTTAAGGAATTAAAATTGAAATATAAAACGCTTCTTGACACACGTGTAAACATACTACTATCGTAATTTCTAGAGAAAAATATTGTAGAATATTTAATAATTAATATTGTATTCGTTTTTTGGAGAAAAAGATTACTAATGAAAAAACGACGAAGACGACAAAACCGAATGACGTAGAAAGGGGGATAAATAAAAAAAAAAAAAAAAAAAAAAAAGTTAAAAAATTGTCTGTGATTATCAGTCATAATAATCTTTAGGTCAACATATTTTTTAGAGAATATTTTTTAGAAAATTACAAAATTTATGATATATATCCCTATTATTGATATGATATTGGATCAAACGTGCTACGCATAATATTATACAATATATAAAATTTGGAAAAAAAAAAAATAAAACTATATATGACTAGTTGAGACCGATGGCTGTTGTAAAATATTCAGTGTTTGGACAAATAACTATTGAAACTTATTTAATAATAACAAAACTAATATCAATGACATACTAATATTAATGATTAAAAAAAAAAAAAAAAAAAAAAAAAAATATTGCATATTAGTAGCATTTTTAACTCTGCGTTTCTGCATATTCACCGAGAGAATGAAAGAAAGAAAAAGAAAAAAAAATAGGCCATATAGGGAAATTATTGTAGATCGCATAAAACAAAAAAAAAATGAGTCACGAGGAAATGTATAATTACGCAATGGGATATCATTGGACATTATAAAGGCACTCGACACATTTCTTTTTTTTTTTTTTTTTTTTTTTTTGTTCTGTGGCAAATCAATACACACACTCTCTATAAAATAATTATTGTAATACATTATTTCAGAAGATATTATGCGTAACGCAATAGCAGCTTCACGTCACACAATTACGTATATACACACAATCACACTATGTCCATTGCCCATGTTTTGTAATTAAATGTTTTGTTAGTATTATGTGAGACATTAACAGAATAAAACACAAGTGGAAAGAAAAGAATAATTGTCCTCTTCTTTTAAATCTCACGATTTATCAAATATTTTTTTTTATGTGTTCTCTAAATCCTAGTAATCATTGAAAAAATTTTATTCTAAAAAATGGAATAATATTTTATATAATTAATTAAATTAAAATACTTAATTTTTTTTTTTTTTCTTTAAGAAATTTCAGTGAAAAATATTTTTAAATTAAAAATAAAAAATTAAACAAAATTAAAAATAAATTGTAAAATAAAAAAAGAAGAAAAAGTTTAATATGTTTTCAAGGGAGCGTGAAAAATAAAATGACTCTGTCCGAGATATATTGCATTTTGTTTAATATGTATATCGTCAGTTCGCAATTAGTTTAAGCATATTATCTCTTTGTTCTCACAGTTGAGTACATCGATACAAGAACGCATCTGTATATATTGTAGTACTATATATGTGAATGCAATACATAAAAAAAAGAAAAAAAAAAGATCGAATCCATTACAGAGAGTTACAGATCAAGTTTATTTGTTTCTCTTTGTATTAGTTTGCATAATAATTATTTTTTTAATTGATATAAATTCTCATTAGATAAAAATTTGTCCTATAAGTGATTAATTTCGAGAATTAAATTTATTGAATTTTTTTAAATCAATTTTTTTGCAGAAAATAAATATTTAAATATTATTAATTTAATATTATTATTATTTTTATTAATTAATTAATTAATTAATAATTATTAATTAATATTAGTTAAATATTTTGTGAAATATTTAATTTAATTTAATGAATTACATTTTTTTCAAATAAATTAAGTAATTTTTAATTAATTCTAATTAATTAATTTTAATTAGTTAATCAACATTTTTAATCAAAAAAAAAAAATTGTGAAAATGTAATAAATTTTTCCTTGAATTTTGAAAATTTCAATAACCTTCGATATGTATCTTAGATTTTTATCAATGAAATCTCTTTATTCAAAAGTATGACGTTCTTTGTAAGAGACAATTTGCATAACAAAAGTATCATGAAACAACTAATTTCAATTAAAATACATGCCTGATTCCTTTGTCTTTTAATAATTTACTAGCAAAATTACACGCGCGCAAGCGCGCGTCCAACTTTAATTGCAATGGTTATTTTAAAATAATAATAATAATAATAATAATAATAATAATAATAATAATAATAATAATAATAATAATAATAATAATAATAATAATAATTCTGCATCAGTGGAGTATTAAATTAATAATAGGTATATTTCTAATTTTCACGTTATCATTTATTTATACACAGAAAAAAATGAGTTTGATGTTATATAAATAAATAAATTTAAGTAAAAATTTTAAAATATAAATATTAAAATTTTAGAAATAAATATTTTTGATAAAGTCAATGTTCGATGAATTTTTTATAATCTTTCAAATTACAAAAAATTAGTTATGCTAAATATTTTTTTGTATTTTCTATAAATATTTCGTTGCAAATGAAAATTTTAAATTTATGTTTTTTTTTCAAAAAATTTAATTAACTGATAATTAATAAATATTGAAAAATTATGTAATCAATAAGAAATTTAAATTAACTGAAAATTATTAATTATATTTTAAAAAGTATTAAGCAATTAAAAAATATTTAAAAATTTTGAAAAAATAAAACCTAAAAAAAATTTGTAATGTTTTAAACTTTAAACTTAAATTAAAAATTAAAATCAAATTGAAAATTTTTTAAAAAAGCAAACTAATTTTTATATTGTTTATAGATAAAAAAATATAACAATTTAATAATTAATAATAATAAATTTATGAATAATAATATATAATAAATAATAATGAATAATGAAAAAATAATGAAAGATAAATAATAATTATAAGTTAAAATGTTCTATTTATCTGTAATAATCATTATATTTAAAAAAATGTATAAGTATATAATATAATAAATTTATAAATAATAATAAAAATTATATTATAATTGAAACTTTTTTTTCTATAAATACCAAGTAGGAAATATACTGGTGCAGCACACAATGAACAGTATTTTTTTTTACTTTAAACTGATACTTAGCATATGACTTAATTAATGACGATGAATAAAAATATCCGTCCCGTTAACCATAAAATATTACGAAATCAAGAATTGTCAAAATTTTAGAAAAACAAAAGGAACAAAATACGACTAACTTCAAGTGTAGACAGACGGAATGAATGAATGAATACGGAAATTATTATAGTTAATTTGACATAAATTTTCTCCAGTACTCAGAATTGAATTAAATTTGTTTTTATAATGTCAAAATACATTCATTTTTTTAGAAAATAAAAATGTCATATGAAAATCACAATTAATAAAAATTATTTTGTTTATAATTTTAAAAAAATTTTTAATTAAAATTTAGAACAAATTTTTTTTTTCTTTGATATTTCTTTCAGAAATAGAAAAATATACGGTAATTATTATTTTTTATAATTAATGTAATTAAATAATTATTATTTATAATTATAATAATATTATTATTATATAAAATAATATAATAATAATAAAATTTTATATTAATTATGATAATTAACAATAAAACAATGTGTAAAAAAATGCATTCAAGCATTTTGAAGTAAAAAGGTATGACTCACAATTATTTCCGTATGATGCTATATTTCACACGAGAAAATGGATATACGTCATAGATCAATGTACTCTCAAACCTGTACATTGATGATGTCACGTTAGTTTTTTTTTTTATATAAAAAATTATAATTAATGCATATTCGATAAGGTATTAATTTTTTTTTCAATTAACAAATAATTGTGTCATTTATAGGAAAAACTGAAAATATAGAATTTAAACGCAAGGATGAAACGATTCACATTCCACATTGAGAAATACACATAATATAAGAAACATAAACTTTCACTATATACACTAGAAATAATTGTATATATAGTAATTCATAAATAATCACGAGAGTTTTTCTATACGCAATGCAGGAAAATTGATAAATTGTTTTTTTTTATAAGCCAATTATATTTTGAATTTTATTATAACTTTCACAAAATTTGATTAATTATTTATAGCAATTTTTTTTTATAATAATTAATAAATATTTTATTAGTATGTAATAGATAATTAATAGATTATTCGATAATTTATAATTATGTAGTAATAATTAATTAATTACTAATTTATTATTCTATAATGCAAAATTCAAATTTTCAAATAACTCCCGCCATTTTCATTTGATATCGTTTTCCCATGATGCATTGCAAATTGTGACTAATCGATTCTAGCCTAACTTCACTTCAGTGCTTAACCGCCAAATTAAAGTTAACGTTCCCCGCGTGTGAAAAATCAATTATTTTCTAATTTAAGAGTATTATTAAACATTATTTAGTACAATATTTAGTCAAAAGATAGGTAGGAACATTTTTAATTAACAAATATTAAGAATTATTAAGTTCAGTTCAGTATTTTGCTCAAAAAAGTGAAAAGTGTATAGTGTACATGATTTTGTGATTTGATGGTTAATGAAAGATATCAACGTTTCTAAAATGAATTTCAATCGATTAGTGACCTGTAAAAATTTTCTAATTCAAGATTATAGATTGATAAAATTGAAATTAAAATTTTTGAAAGTTGTCGCGATGAGATCACCCCCACCTAACCTAACTCTCCGTCGATTTCTCCCCACTTCTACTAGGGTGACGTGCACCCCTCTCTATTCCCCGTAGATGATGTTAGTCACCTCAAGGACGTTTACTGTAATTGGGATAGGTCGGCTGGTTGTTCTGTTGTTCAGAACGAACAAAATGTGACAGAAGACTAGACAAGAAATATAACCATAGCCCGCGCCGGTGTGTTTTCAAGATGGCGGCGCTCCCATTTACATAGTCTTATTATATTTTCTCAAGTTAAATTTCTGTGTCTTTGAATAATATGTTTGTGATTCTTAGTATTGTGTCGGGCCACGGTAGAAAAAGCAATTGCCGATTCGTAAACGTTTCTGTGAAACTTTAATAAAAAAAAGAGAAAAAAAAAGTTCGACACTAGCGCCAGAAATATCCTGGAAATCATGACATTCCACCTCCTCACCATCGTCGCCTTTGTTCGGACTTTACCTCTGTTAAGGTACTACCAGCGGTCACACAGGTAAAAATCAGTGTCGATGGGGCAAAAACGAAGTCTTGATGAGTCTTCCCTAAATTCCCAGGATTGAAACACACGAAACGATCGCCGTCCGTCTTCATTTTGCGTTATATTTCGTAGTGAAGGCAAAAAAAAAGTGAGGTTACATTTTCTCACCGTCGCGATTTTTATTATTTTAATAAAATGTAATTTCCACCTGTCAGTAATATCAAAAAAGTGCTAAAATGTTTAAAATAATACAAAGTCGCTATTTAATTGCCTTTAAAACTGTGAATTAAAGTGAAGTTTTATTGGGAGTTCAACTCTGATAAAGTATGCTCCAAAGTGTGAATTTAAGCAAAAAACAATTTTGGTGGAAAAACTTGTGTTGAAACGAATTTATAAATGTGTTGGAAATTTATTTTTAATTATCGTGAGTGAAAGTTTTCTCCGTTTTTTGGATTTTCCAAGAGAACCATCTTTATTATCAACCTAATGGATGTAAGCAACGGATCTGGATAAATCTCTTAACGTATGTACCTTTTACAATCAATATCATATAGATTAATTAATGTTTCATTATTGACACTCATTAAAAAAAAGGAAGGAATTCTGTTAAATTAGAATAAAAGCAATTATCGTGGTTAGAATGTCGTTGACATTGTCTGGCAAGTAGCGATAATACTCCAATCAGACAGGAAAACCTGTTCGATAACTGGTACTTTTATTGCGATATTTTTTCCGGTTCTTCATTAATCTTTTGACTAATTTTAGATTCTTCAAATCGAGTTTGGATTATATGAATATTTTTACATTATGCAAAAAATTCCTTAGTTTTAAGTGTCAAGATTGAATATACTTTTCGTTAGAAAATATGATATTACCATAAATTTGAACCATTTATCAGTATAAGCATTTAAAGTGTATTGAATTTCATTTAAAAAAACTAAATTTTTAAGAAAATCTTAAAAATTAAAAATTTAAATTTAAAAAATTTGCAATAATCAGAAATGATTGCACCATAAATTCTCTTATTCTTATTAAACTCAGTAAATTCTAAAATATTTGTTAAAATTTCATTATTCAATTGCAGTAATAAAAAGTAATAAATATTTGTCGATAAATTATAAATAAACGTATTCAGATGTTAATTAAGAAGATTTCTTCTCTGGCACATTTTAAATTTGAGATAATATATTGGAAAATTTGTCTGCTTTTATATAAATGAAATATATTAAAGCATTTGATATAATTGGAAACGAAACTAGGTATAATGCCAACTCGGTGACAATTTTCATTCCACAAAGCGGGTAATTAAATACCATTAATAGTAAATTGGGCACCATGCCATTGTGCAGATATTTTCCTTACATGCAAAATCGAATTACTATCATGATTTTTATTTAATATAAATTTTCCCAATTTTTTCTTCTTTTTTTTTTAATGATATTCAATTATAATTTAATTTTTGTTTTAAACATGTTTAAAGACTTGTAATTTAAATTTTTAATTTTATTTTAACTCTATATTGCCTCTGGTTTTTCTTTTATAAGTAAAATTCAATATTGTCCATATGAGAGTTTTTATTAAATAATTTAAAAATTAAAATTTTATTACTTTTCGCATATTCGATTATAAAGAGAGTTTCGTTTTTTATCATTTTACAATATTTTTTAAAAATATCTATGTTACAGTTAGTATATGAAATAAAATACATATACATACATGCACACAAAGTTAATTAATATTTATGTGCAATTTGAAATGCACCTTTTATTCAGAATTATGAATTCATAAGAGATCGTACAAACCTGTCTACCAACGAGTCAGTCATTAAGTTCAAAGTTTTTCATATATATTCGATTTAAATGAATTTACTTTTATAAAAGCAATTAAATATGTTTAACGAGAGAAAAAAAAATGTATTTCGCAAATAATTAATTTTCTCGATTTTCAACTTTTTTGAAATTTAATTTAGTCTTTATTATTGTCTTATCACAATTTCTTTTAACTTATTAATGATGAATTTATATACCAAGCAGACAGTTTTAATGGATATTTAAAAAATATTTTTTTTACTTGAATATTTCTCACCTAGAAATAATAAATTAAATACATAACTATTTTTGAATATTAAACAAATATTGTTTTACAAATAATGTTTTCGTATTTCAATAAATAGTAATTTTTGATAAACTTATGGCATTATTGTGAAACATTTTCTTAAATATATCGTTTGTGTAAATATAAAACTATTAAACAATTTTTGTTATAAAATTTAACGTGAAATTTTTTTTTTATCGGAAATATTTGCCATCAAAATAAATTTTTTTTTTGACGTATCTATGAATTTTTTTTTGTTTGAAATAGAATATTCATTTCACCGAATTTATCAGAATCATTTTGGTGCAAATTTAGAAATGAACTAATCAATTTTTTTTTATATTTCTGATTGGTTGGTTTTAAAATTCACGATTTCAACTATTTTTGACGAAATATGGTTGTTTGGTAGAATGGAAGTTCTATTAAAATGAGAATTCGATTAAATAGAAATTCTATTAACTGAAAATTCAGAGTTAAATTAAATTTTTACATTGAGGGAAAATTCTATTAAATGAAAATTGAATTAAATATAAAAATTAAATTGAAAATTATAAATTATATTAATGCAAATTTTACAAAATAAAAATTTTCTTAATTAAAAATTTTAATATTAATTTGATTGAACAAAAATTTCAATTCGGTTCGATACAAAATTTTACTTTGTAAAATAAAAATTTAATCTGGCTGGAAATAGTTTTTAGTATAAATACTATCCTCCTATTTACCCCATAGTGTTACTATTTATCCCATTTTCTCAAATATTGACGTTTCTTAACAGTGTAATTAAAAATAAATAATGCAAATTTATTGATTAACATCGTGATGTATAATTCGAATAATGAAGAAAATAAATGAAAAGTTTATAATTAGGAGAGAAAATATTTTGAGAGCTTAGTGGCAGGTTTATCGATTTGAGCTCGACATGCGTTCTTTCGTTGTAGGGGAAACGAGTTGAAGAGTAAAGCAAAGGAGAGAGAGAGAGAGAGAGAAAGAGAGTGAGTGAGTGAGTGAGAGAGAGGGAGAGTGAGTACAGAGTGTATGAAGATTCGAGGGGGTGGGGCCCTCAGGTGCACCTCTTTTGAGGCTCAGTGAGTCCGATCCTGATCTAAATCTGTTGCTAACCGAGCAACGACGACGCTTCCACCAGCGCAAGACGAACCGCGTCGTGACGCCTTTACGCGCATCTATATAACAAAACTATATAACTATGCATATATTGTGACTTTTAATAGACACGGAATAGACTTATAGACACACGCTAGACGTCTCTTCGGTCAATCCTTGGCACGAGAACGTGAATATGCGAGAGACAACTGCTGAATGAAATATTTTCATTGGCGAACAACATTTCTTCTTCGTTGTTTCTGCACACCCCTTTGGAATTAAAAAAAAAAAAAACCTCACTTCTTTCATCATAATATAAATCCCAGACTTTTTCTGAGATATTAAAAAATTCTTCCCTGGGTAGAGTTTGAGAAATCATTTTTGTTTTTTGGAAATAAACTAAAAATTATTATAGTTTATTTAAAAATTGTTTAATTTCATATAGTTTTCAATATCCTTTCTTTTTCTTTTCTATTTTATATTTATATAAAATAGTGTTTTTCATTTTGGCACTCTACATTTACTGCGCTTTTGAAATACGATGAAAACACATTTCTTCCACTAGTATAACGTCAATTTACGACGATGTAAAATTAACCGAAGTGCGTCGGCCTGTTGGATTGTTACCAAATAAATAATATTACGTTCAAAAGCATCGCAGGATATAGGACTTTTATTGATCTCCGGTTATACGATCGCTATTGTATATAAAGATATAAGTTTGTCTCTCATGAATATATTTTCAAAGATATAGTTTAAACTTTTATATATATACAAAATATTCTGAATCCTGAATTTAATAATGGCAAAAATAAATTAGTACTTGATTTTCAGTTACAATTTTTAATTATCTATTTTTATTTTCAAAATAAACTTTATTATTTTGTTCAGAATTTATTTTTTATTAACAGGTGATCTGCCTTTTAATTAGTTTACTTTTTAATCTATTTTTTTTTAATTAACTTCAATTATCAAATTTAAATTTTACGAGAAAATTATATTTTATTTCGATTTTGAAATTTGTTTCTTTTTTTAAATCCTTGCTTTGTATTTGAAACTAATAGAAAATGGAAACTAATATTAATTGATATTCTGTCATTATTGTAAATTATTGCAAAATTCAGTATTGAGAGAGAGAGAGGGAAATATTATTATTGGTCTAGTATTCAAACTAGTGTGTTGATTGTGTAATTAATGTACCTACTCGAAATTGTAAATTTTCTATCGATGACGCGTTTTGTGTCAATTTTGTGTACGAGAGAGGAACATTTATTACATATTCTCATTGACATTTATATATAGTCAGATGAATTATTATTATAGTTGAATTTTGCCAAAAACGTTTATATACCGCGTTCAGTTTTGCGCGCTTTTGATTACGGGATATGCGAAATAATACCAGACGATATGATGACTTCCTGGCGTTAAAACCTGTCTAACGACTGAAAAAAAACACGCACTCAGCGACGACCAGGCCTTATGGTTGAGGGAATTCACTACTCTTGGTGCTATATAAAAGTCTAATCTTCTCTCTACCGTATCCGATTTTTTCATTATATATAGTAGTGTATTTTTTTTTATTTTTCAAAAATATTCATGATATCCTTTCATTTTAGGTTCATTATAAGAGACATTTTTCTGCGAGAACTTCATAAAGATATATTCTACACTGAGGAAAAAATTTATTTTATTCAAATAATCGATTATATTTGACAAATATTTCTTTGTAACAAATAAAATTTATTTTGAACTAAATAAATATTTATACTTGTAGCAAATGAAATTTACTTGAACCAAATAAATATTTACTTTTATTAAATAAAATTTACTTGAACCAAATAAATATTTACTTGTATTAAATAATTATTATTTAATTCAATTGAATGGCATTTGTTTCAAATACTGAAATAATTACGTACATAAACTTAGCGAAACAACTTCAAAAACCAAAAGTCTTATATAGACCAAAATTTGCCGCTTTTTAGTCGCTAATTAGTTGTGAAAAAAAAAATTTTGTCGCTCTTCAATTTTTTTTAAAATAGGGTGCTTTGCTAAGTTTACATAAAGTTAGCGAAGCACCCATTCTAACTCCGTTGTTTACAAAGATTCACAAAATTCTTCTTGACAGAAATTTGCCGTTTTTTTGCCGTAACAAGACCAAATAATTCATTTTCCAAAAACCCAAAAAATTAATTAAAAAAATTTAAAAAAAAAAATTTTTTAATTTCAAAAAAAAATTTTTTTAAATTTAAAAATAAAATTAAGAAAAAAATTTTTATACGAACTGTAAATGAATGTAAATTAAACAACTGCAGATGAATCACA